CATCAGAACAAAATACTATTATTGAATGTGAAATCTCCAGCAGAAACCTTAAATGTATAAATACATCTAGTAATCATTGCATAAATAAATACTGTAGTTTATTTTCCTTTTTTCCGGGTAATTTAATCTACAGTAGTTATTTGTTATTATTACGAATAATATTCTACTTCATGAAAGTAATAATAATAAAAAAAAATACATTATCATACAAAAATGTGCAAAGAAATACTTTAAAACAACAAATACTGCAATGTTAATAAATGAGTGTAATGTTATCGGGTTGTCATACTAATCACTAATGTATGTGTAATATTAAAATATAATAAATAATACACCTATGCATAAACAACATTCGATATTAGGCTACAATTAATATCACAAACTCGGTCCAAATGAGTAAAAGAAAAGAAAGAAAAAATTATTAAGAATTTATCTTTCCTCATCTAACACATTTAAAACGTTCTATATATTCTCTACATATTTCATTTCATCATAGAAGTACTTTAGTGGTAGTAATAACAGCAGTTGCATTGAATTTTTGTCTCCAGTTATTTTGGATCATAATTTGTGAGATTCGATCGTTTATTAATATGCTGGGGCAGAGAAGTCTCCCGATGCTAATAACAATTTTAATCGTTAAAAAAGATGTACAAATAGAAAACATTATGAATAGTATAATTTGAAAAAAGAAATGTAATATAGCGTAAAAATATTGAGTTACCTTTTTGGTTGATACCTGCAGAAAAAGGGGGTTCTTGATAGTGTGTGTCGTTATCAGCACCACTTGGATATGAGGGATATGATGTTGGTATTGCTGAATCAGCTTCATAGCTAGGAGCAAAAGCTGCATCACCCCCTTGACGAAAACGCTGATATGCATAGAATGCAGAAGCTCCCTAAAATATTCCATTAAAACTTTATTCACAAATGAAAAATAACAAAAGTTACCCAAGTAAACATTGAAAAGAACGAGAAAGCAATAGCTGCTTGTACATTGTTAACACCATACTTGTTTGGAGGTGTAGAGGATTTGCCCCACTGACTGGCCAAATACCAAAAGCCAACAAAGTATAGAAAAGCCCAAAATCCTAAAAACATTACTACACATAATTACATATACAGTCTCCAATTTTACAATTAAAATCAACTTATGAAACATAGTCTACCTGAAAATCCAAGATCTGCAAGAACATAATGTTTACGTGTTTTCACAGATGACATTTGCTCAAAAAGGTATTCACCAGCAATAAAACCCATGCTTGCTAAAAATGCTATGACTGAGATTCCAACTCCATAATTGCAAGCGTTACTATCACCATTATACAGACAAACTTCTTTTTCATCCTTATCAGTTTTCATCCATCCTTCAGATGATATACATCCAAATACTACTACTGAAAATAGCTACAATAAAAAAGTCAATAAATTACTCTAAATCTCTACACTTCAAGGAAAATACCAATTAATTAACAAACAGAAAGTTTCTCTAGATTATTAATAAATGTAATTGTCTCTATGAAGTTATATGTGCTTTAATTACTAATATATATTTGTTGTTTGATCTCATGATATAAGATTATGCACAGTAATTAAATTTAAGTTTGTTTTTTCTTCATTTTGTCTATTGGTAATATTAAATATTTTTAATGATCAATATTAAATACATTTGTGACCCACCCCTTTACCTATTTTAATCAATAAGTACATGGAAAATTTTACAAGTAATTATAGCACTAGATTAGTAGTTCTTCAACAAAATAATATTTTTCAGTAAAACATACCCAGCAGACCAAACGTAGAATAACTTGAGGTCTTTTGACAAAAGCAATAGGATCAAAAGCACTTCCAGCTTTACCACCACCGTACGCTCCAGTACCTTCCATCTTTTTAAAACTGCTTATCAAGTCAATTTACTTTTGTTGCAGTTTAATGACTTTTACGAAGATATACACAATTTTTTCTTTTAGACCAGAAAATATATTAAATAGACAAGCACACGAAAGCCATTCTTGAACTATACCTATTAGTTTTCACTGCAAAATAATACTATTGAATACTATCAATGCTAGCAACAATTGGTAAACAGTTGATTGTCAGAGTTGACACGTATTTATGACATACAATGATTGGCCAATAAATTAAGTTAACAATTGAAATATTGTTAAGCAATTTGTGTTGACCAGATTTGTATCTGTATAAAATTAAAATGATAAAAAAGGAGTAAATAATATTCGAACATACGTAGTTGCAATTGCTATATTACAATGCTTAAAAGTTAAACAACGATGTATTATTAACGATTAAAAGCACGACTCTATATTTACATCCATACATAAGCAATGCACAACATTTTTCCTTATATTCTATCTATTTCAGTAGTATTTGTCTGAATTGAATAAATAATCTAAAAGTGCAAAATTTAAGCCATAATTGTATTATTTTAAACTGAAAACTAAAAGGGTCTTTTGCGGTATTCTTAAACTTTGCATTTTATGTATCGTTCAATGTCAATACTAAGCGTCATTATGATTTAATTAATCGTAAAAAAATGAAAATATTACGAAAATTACACGAAAAAGAAAATACCATCAGAACAAAATACTATTATTGAATGTGAAATCTCCAGCAGAAACCTTAAATGTATAAATACATCTAGTAATCATTGCATAAATAAATACTGTAGTTTATTTTCCTTTCTTCCGGGTAATTTAATCTACAGTAGTTATTTGTTATTATTACGAATAATATTCTACTTCATGAAAGTAATAATAATAAAAAAAAATACATTATCATACAAAAATGTGCAAAGAAATACTTTAAAACAACAAATACTGCAATGTTAATAAATGAGTGTAATGTTATCGGGTTGTCATACTAATCACTAATGTATGTGTAATATTAAAATATAATAAATAATACACCTATGCATAAACAACATTCGATATTAGGCTACAATTAATATCACAAACTCGGTCCAAATGAGTAAAAGAAAAGAAAGAAAAAATTATTAAGAATTTATCTTTCCTCATCTAACACATTTAAAACGTTCTATATATTCTCTACATATTTCATTTCATCATAGAAGTACTTTAGTGGTAGTAATAACAGCAGTTGCATTGAATTTTTGTCTCCAGTTATTTTGGATCATAATTTGTGAGATTCGATCGTTTATTAATATGCTGGGGCAGAGAAGTCTCCCGATGCTAATAACAATTTTAATCGTTAAAAAAGATGTACAAATAGAAAACATTATGAATAGTATAATTTGAAAAAAGAAATGTAATATAGCGTAAAAATATTGAGTTACCTCTTTGGTTGATACCTGCAGAAAAAGGGGGTTCTTGATAGTGTGTGTCGTTATCAGCACCACTTGGATATGAGGGATATGATGTTGGTATTGCTGAATCAGCTTCATAGCTAGGAGCAAAAGCTGCATCACCCCCTTGACGAAAACGCTGATATGCATAGAATGCAGAAGCTCCCTAAAATATTCCATTAAAACTTTATTCACAAATGAAAAATAACAAAAGTTACCCAAGTAAACATTGAAAAGAACGAGAAAGCAATAGCTGCTTGTACATTGTTAACACCATACTTGTTTGGAGGTGTAGAGGATTTGCCCCACTGACTGGCCAAATACCAAAAGCCAACAAAGTATAGAAAAGCCCAAAATCCTAAAAACATTACTACACATAATTACATATACAGTCTCCAATTTTACAATTAAAATCAACTTATGAAACATAGTCTACCTGAAAATCCAAGATCTGCAAGAACATAATGTTTACGTGTTTTCACAGATGACATTTGCTCAAAAAGGTATTCACCAGCAATAAAACCCATGCTTGCTAAAAATGCTATGACTGAGATTCCAACTCCATAATTGCAAGCGTTACTATCACCATTATACAGACAAACTTCTTTTTCATCCTTATCAGTTTTCATCCATCCTTCAGATGATATACATCCAAATACTACTACTGAAAATAGCTACAATAAAAAAGTCAATAAATTACTCTAAATCTCTACACTTCAAGGAAAATACCAATTAATTAACAAACAGAAAGTTTCTCTAGATTATTAATAAATGTAATTGTCTCTATGAAGTTATATGTGCTTTAATTACTAATATATATTTGTTGTTTGATCTCATGATATAAGATTATGCACAGTAATTAAATTTAAGTTTGTTTTTTCTTCATTTTGTCTATTGGTAATATTAAATATTTTTAATGATCAATATTAAATACATTTGTGACCCACCCCTTTACCTATTTTAATCAATAAGTACATGGAAAATTTTACAAGTAATTATAGCACTAGATTAGTAGTTCTTCAACAAAATAATATTTTTCAGTAAAACATACCCAGCAGACCAAACGTAGAATAACTTGAGGTCTTTTGACAAAAGCAATAGGATCAAAAGCACTTCCAGCTTTACCACCACCGTACGCTCCAGTACCTTCCATCTTTTTAAAACTGCTTATCAAGTCAATTTACTTTTGTTGCAGTTTAATGACTTTTACGAAGATATACACAATTTTTTCTTTTAGACCAGAAAATATATTAAATAGACAAGCACACGAAAGCCATTCTTGAACTATACCTATTAGTTTTCACTGCAAAATAATACTATTGAATACTATCAATGCTAGCAACAATTGGTAAACAGTTGATTGTCAGAGTTGACACAGCAGTGTTTATTTTTTCGGTAACGTTCAGTAACATTAAAAAGAAAGCTTGTCCCGTGATAACTANAATTTACATTAAAATCTACCGATAAATCGATACAATACACAACCTATGCACAGTGCATGCAGGGTTGTATGACCGGTTGTCTAAGCTGCATACTTTCTTCAACCGTACTACCGTATGAGCGTTAAATCATTTTGTGATTTCAAAGTATCGGTGAATGCTTGTTTTTTTTTTTAATATTTTAGAATGAAACATAGCAAATAAGTAAATTTCTCCATCTGAAAAAAAGAAAATGAATCATAAATTCTCTCATATATATATATATATATATGAGGGAAACTGGACGACTAAAATGAAATTTAGTTCGTGACCTTGTGCAAAATGCAAATTAGACACACCTGCACCTACACATAGGAATGCCTAGATACAGTGCATAGGTTATATAGGTAATTATATTAATACGATCGTCAGTTCGAAAACAACAATGTAATTATTAAATACTACCATCACTATCATACATTCTTGTCCATCATTTTGTACGACCTATGGGACGCAATCACCATAACTGAAGTTCAGTTTTTAAGTAGGCGTCTCAAATGAAATATATTTATAATAGCACGTAATTTTTTTTTTTAATATTTTATTACGAATTTCATCATATAGGCAGGTACCTACCTACTTCTGTGACATGATGTGTAAGTACATAAGTTATTTGTCAACGACAAAAATAGTTTAGAATAAAGACATGCAGTTGAGAATTATTTACGGTATATGAACGCAAAATCAGCTACTTAATCCTGTTTTATAAATAGCCTATATTAATATACCTACCTTAGTGCACATATGTATGTTAAAATCTACTTAGCACAAATCATACAATCTTATCTAATATCTATAAAGTAAATATGCATAGACATATTTATTAATAATGTCTGTTTCGATATTATAAGCATTTATTAAATGACAAATCCAAACATAAGTATACATTGAAACGCAAAAATAGAAAAGTTGCATTTTAAATAGTGTTACCTGACAAATAAAATCAGGTGCATCAAAAATTTAAGAAGTCAAAAACAATTTCAAATTTCACGAATGTGTTCGAAGAATTCATGTACCTACGCCGATTAAATTGTTTCTGAATAGGTACACTCTATTTTATGCGTGCCTAGGTAGGTACATTTTCATTCGGTATACCTACAACGATTAAATTTTCAGACTGCTTCAATTTTAAATCAAAATCCTCTATAAAACTCGGTTTCAACACCCAAACATTAATTGCGAAAATAAAAATTCCACAGTAAAACATTTTCAAATTACAGCAATAACAATAATTACTACTCCAAGCAACTTACATTCTAATATGGTTCCCAGATATCAACTAGCGGAATGAAAAAGAGGGGGACAACACTAGGCCCATACACGAAACACCACTCATGTCCGAAATGTGCCGTTTAACACGAAAACTACAATTGATAATTACCGCACTAAGAAAGTGAGAATACTGTATATCACAATTTTTTCAATTATTTGGCGTTGAAATACTTGCATTAATAAACACGAGATTGTATTGATCCACTCGTACGTGGCACTGGCAGTCTAACAGAGAATGATCAAAACGTCTTTTCGTCTAACTCCGTCACCGTTTCGTCAATTGTCGGATTTGGAAAGCATGCAAACGGAAAGTAATATTGATAACATTATCGAAGTGATAACGTTTCAAACACAGGCAGCTCAGTTAGCTAGCACGTAATAACAATTTACAACCTAAGATGCATCAGCGTTTACTATAATTTTTCCGAAGATCTATAGAAGATAGAGAAAACAAAATCTTCGTCGCATAGATAAAAATAGTATAATTATAATAAAAAAAAAAAACTGTACTAACTACATACCGAAGTACATATTCTACCTAGGTACATATTAAATGGGTACGAACGTAAAACAGTAATTCTTATTTGTAGGCAGATACCTGCTATGATCCACCTATCCAGCTTTCTAAATTTTTAAATGTCCATATTTAAAAAGCGTACCTACTTATCAAGCTCCAAAATAAGTGATATATCGTAATCCAAATATCATACGTACATATATATGTATGCGCATGTCTACATACACATATAGGTCATGGCCTATTTTACTACATTTATTACCAGGGCAGATCATCATCGTTCGTCGATGATTCTTTTTGGTTCGACCTTCACCGCCGACATTTTTAAAACCTTTCGGGACTAAAAGGTAGTTTGTAACGAAATATCTAAATAAAAAGCGTTTTGAAAAGGGTTAATTTACCGCGAGTCTGTCACATAGACAGCTAATTATAAGTTTCCTTCCTATGTTTTTTAGAGGTGCCTATTTGTTCTATTCAATCAGCGCCCCCTGGTAGTTTATCACAATCAACCCCAACTAAGAATAAATCGACCTATATTACGGGAAAGCTAGTGTTCCTCCTGGGGACTAAAATTCAATCCGGCTACTTTTCGAACAGACCCTGTTATATAAATATATACACTGACAAAATTTCGTTTCAAAATAAAGTCCCATTTATTTGCATAACCATTTAATTAATACTTCTTTCAGTGAAATATTCTTTATGAACCGGTCCATTTCACTGTGTCCCATCATATGTATAGGTATCTGTATAACCGTTGTCGCCTGCCGTTCTCGTTTAGCATTTGACGTTATGTTATGGAGGGACAATACGGATGTCCCATTATTAATTGATTATTATTTAGTTATGCCTTCACGCTAATTCCTGATAAGAGTTGAACTGTTGGTTAACAAATCCAACGGAAGTAGTAGTTAAAGCATTATTTCTGTCAACAAAAAAAAATAATGCCACATCATGTTCAGTCCATAGACTTCTTATTAATTTTCCTGTAATCTGTAAGTAAAGAACAGTTTTCTGATTTTTTTTTAAAATTTTAGGTTCAATAGTTTTGGAGATAGGGGAGGGGGATGGTCAATTTTCATCTATTTTCATAAATAAATTTAAAACTATTTTAAAATTATAAAAAATATATTTGAAACCCTTACAAGCCCTTTCATTTAATAAGTCACACGGTACAATTTGCAAAACTTTTTTTTTTATTTCCTATGGACCCCCCAAAAATGCCTCCCATGTTCAGAATTAATTAATATACGTTATGCGTCCGTATTTGGATTGCAGAAATTCATGTGTACTAAATTTCAATTTAATCGGTCCAGTAAATTCGGAGCAAAAAACAGACAAACACACGAGTGGCCCTATAAGGGTTCCGTACCTTTCGAATGAAAAACGAAAAAAAAAGGAAAAAAGCAACTGCATCCGACAGGCATCGATCCCTGAACGCTCTATTATACATATAAACTAAACCCCACCCCTCATTTTGAAGAAAACTAACTTAACATACAACATGATATATACATAGATACATATATAAATATTTACACAAAAAATTACAATTATTAACAAATAGATACAGATGCTATGTAATAATAATTATTGTGTGATACGAAAAACACAGGTGCGTAGGTACAATGCATCGGTTAAATGTTCCAATTTATTGGCAAACACAAGCAGTTAAATTTACATGTCCACTTATAACAAGACTGCGTAACAGTGGAACAGTCCATATTCCGTAAAATTGCATATCCAAAGCCCGAGCGACTCGTCGTTGCTCAAAACTTTCTTCTACGAGCCTGGCAACAGTACGCAACAAAGTCAGCTCTAAAGTTGCCACGCTTAGAACGTACAAGCCAAGGACACAGAATTCGCAAAATGAAATAAAAGCGACTATTTACACAATTCACTTCATTCATATTTCTGTTAAAAATACCTGGAGGGGAAATTATTTTTAAATAAAAGTTACCTCGCGTAAAATAGATAAGTATGTTTGTTTAATTTTAAAAGTACTTTTTAATAAAACTAAATTACGTACCTACCTGGATACCTAGCTTGTACTTTAAAAAAACGAAAAGTGAATTAATTGTTTAACGAAAATTTATTTTATGAATAATAGCCTGTTGCCAATAAACTTCGTTTCTTGCCGACTGGGAATGCGCATCTAAAATTACTTAATACGTCACGTCATGTTGTTTGTAATTGGAACGCTACATACAAAATCACATACAACGATACGAACTATAATAAAACTACATTAACTCAGGTATTAATGTTTATACAAAAAAAATTACTTACCTAAACAACGTAAGTCTTTATTTTAATTAGCACAATATCACTTAAAATCACACAAATTTCTTCAAATAACGTATTCACCAATGGTACAACCGAACACAACAATACGCCATCTTTTCTTATAATGTGGTATAATCATAGATAAGGAATCTAAATGAAGTCGTGTGAAGTTAGCACCCTATACAATTAATCCTCTTATTTGAATTTTACATCGTTTACAAGTTCTAAATATTACGTAGTGTAATTAGGCGTTAGTTAGTTTTACTTAAAAGAATAATCTTTAGTGCTGAGAGGAATTCAATTTTTATTTATTTAAAAACTATTCAAGCTATCACAATTTCATTGGCGCCAAACTATTACGCGCAATTTGTGCTTGGAGACGGAGGCATTATACTAAACGGAATTATAATAACTAAATTAAATTTCATTGGTATTATTAATACACATCGAAATTACACACATGCCATAGATTAGAAATTAGCATCTTTAATCTGTGATTATCATGACTATTGTCTATATGTGATTTATGCAGATCTATGAGTATATATGGATCATATTATATTTATATCTTGTTGACGCCATACGTGCCAATTGGGAACGTTTAACTGTACACAATAGCATAAAACCTAAATAAATATAGGTAACTGATAATTTTTACTGTTTTGTGTTTGTTCATTATGAAATAGTTGAAAATTGTGATGCCTTCTTTTCTTATGATTTTTAAAAGATTTCCAAAATTTTTCAATTATTTCCAGTATTGTAATAACGTTTGGTGCTTTATTTGAAATTTATCCTGTTGCAAATGTGGCACCACCCTAATTTAACGCAATCACAAGTAAGTACTCCTTACCCATCGACGTTTACTAATGGTCAGAATTGTGGTACAACGAAAGAAAGAGATGGAACGAAGTTTCGGACAATATCCATCTCTCCCACCATAGTGCGTAAACGTGTCATGAAAGAGATAGCATTAGTCCGAAACCATACGCCATCTCCCTCACTTTTTGAGCCAAGAAATTATTACAATGACATACGGCTAAGGCACGTCCATTATATATGTCTATGATAAACACAAGCTTGTCTATGGACACAAGGCAACGACCATAGATAATAGATATATAAAGGGTAACGACCACACTTGTTGTAAATAGAGTTAATCATTTTTCATTGTTGTTAATTTGTTAATATGTTATTTTAACAATTTGTTTGCTAAAGTAATACATTTTCATTGTTACATAATTACAAATAATGAAGGTATGCATTTATTTTAATCTAAATAATTGGTTCAAGTGATTCTAACCTTTATAATGTAAAAACGCAAAATCATATCGAATTTCTCCTTGTTAATTTATATTTCAGGAGTCGTCAAACACATATAATGTTTGTAATATTATGAACACAATTTAACGTTCAATGTTTAATGTACATAGGTTTGCGGTATGTAGTTAGAATGGGGCCATGTTTAACGTTGGAACGCGAAGAAGGAAAAGCGCGTCGGAGAAGCGAAGAAATCGACAGACAGTTAAGCGAATTGTCTAAACAACAAAATAATGTTATTAAGATTTTATTACTCGGTAGGTCACTTATGGTTTATTTGTATTATCTAAAACAATGACTCGAAGGAAATTAATGTTCGTAACATAATTTAAATTTAATTTTAATTCTATACTCTCTCCATTAGTACTTGTTATATATGTAAACATTCCTATTTATAGCTATTATTAACACTTCTGTAGGATTTTATAGTGATATGTATACACATTGTTATATTGTCTACTGAAATATACATATATTTATATATAAATGTTTAGGCGCAGGAGAAAGCGGTAAAAGCACACTTGTGAAACAAATGAAGATAATCCACGCTGATGGTTTTACATACTCAGAATTATGCAGTTTCCGACCAACAGTTTTAGATAATCTGTTGGCATCAATGAAATATGTTCTTACTGGAATGGGACTGTTGCGTATAAATTTAGAACATATTAGGAACAAAGTAAAGATGATTGAGTATTTAAAAAGGTAATCATTAAAGCAGTATTTCTTTACAGATTCATGCACAGGTGATATTGCAAGCTAGAAGTTGTTTTGATATGAGTTTTCAAGTTCTTCCAAATGTGGCTGCATCATTGCAAGCTTTGTGGTCAGATAGAGGCGTGCGTTTAGCTGTGGCCAGAGGCTACGAGTATGAACTAAACGATTCCGCCTTGTATTTATTTGATAATATGGAACGTATTTGTGATACCAAGTATGTACCGACTGCCACTGATGTACTAAGGGCTCGTGTAAGGACACAGGGCATCATTGAGACTCATTTTAAAATAAATGATATGATTGTCAGTATGTACGACGTTGGGGGTCAACGCTCACAACGAAGAAAGTGGATTTACTGTTTCGATGATGTTCGTACTGTTATATTTGTAGTATCTCTAAGTGGCTATGATATGACGTTATTGGTATGCTAGATTGCATATTTAATTATTTATTATATCCCTTGGTTGGCTTTTGTTTTTAGGAAGATCCTTCGGTGAATAGATTGGAAGAGAGTCTAAATTTGTTTGGACAAATTGTTAATAATCCTTTTTTTAGGGATGCCTCTTTTATACTGCTTATGAATAAATTTGATCTATTTAGGGAAAAAATTTTGTATTCCAACCGACACCTGCGACTTTATTTTTCAGATTATAACGGTAAGAGCAAATTATAATTATTCTAATTTGTATATGTATAAATATAAATTCAGAAGAAATTGCACTTTAAGGTCCTGATAGGGATGTGGATAGAGGAGCACTGTTTATACAACATAAATTTGTTTTAAGAAATGGAAATTCTAGAAAAGTACTTTTTCCACATTTTACAACTGCTACTGACACTGCCAATGTTCAGGTTGTCTTTCAGTCAATCATGGAAATAGTGATTTCAGAAAATCTCGGTCAGGTAACTCTCCTTTAGAATTATAAATGTGTACATAATGTACATATTCTAAGCTTTAATAATTTTATTTTTATACGCTTTTTGATTGACTTTGGAATTAATTTAGAGTAGTTTGGTATAAAAAAGACTCTATGATCTCATTACATGCCATTTCTGTAGTTTTTGATTTTTGGATATGCTGCAACCTGTGTATAATTTACAAGGTGTTTCTTTGCAAACAGTTTAACAATTAGAGCCCAGAATTTTGTAACTATTGTTTTTAAGTAGTTTTTTGTGTTTAATATATCGTTTTTTTTTATTCAAAGTTCATGATAAACTATTTGTTAGAAAACCAAAAAAAGTACAAAAATATTTCGTTCAAAATGTACTTTTATGACGCTGACATTTACTTGCCTTAAATAATAATGATATTTTTATCATAGATCGGTGCAATATAACTATATAAATGAATAGGTTGTAGAATATTTTTAAATTGTTATTATAAGTTAACATTATGTTTAGTATATTTTTTATAAATACACTTCAGAAAATAAAGCAAACAAGGTTTCTAAAACAATTTGTTGTATTGTCCACGGTAAATGATCATCATTTTTTAACCTGTACAAGCTTTTGTACGGCGAAAGAATATTATGGACAATGACAACACATTAATAAACACTTAATTAAAAACCAACACCAATAATGGCATAGTTATTATTGAAACTTTATTTGGTTTATTTTTTGAAGTTTATGAAAACAGTTTCAACATATGTTACCTACAGTCATCCAAGTTTAATAAATCTGTACAGGTGGTGCGACAGTGGATGTTCCGATTCAAGTGTCTCGCGTAGCACCCGGTACTCCAGCAGACAAATGTGCCCCTCGTTTATCAGAGGGTGATCAAATCGTTCAGATAAATGGGCACGATGTTACGCATGGGCTTCATCAGACCGTCGTTCAGTATATACAAAAAGCAAGAAGGACTAATGAAGGTACGTAAAATTTACAAAAAAAAAAACGTTCTATTAGGTGGTATGTAAGATAATATAGTTTTAACTTTAGGCAAGTTAGTTTTGGTAGTGAAACCGAGCCCAATCTATTCTGGTGACGAGTATGAGGAGCCTCCTTACCATTACGTTCCGGTAGGTGACGTCCTAAGGACCCCATCGCCCAGTAATGCACTGGAACAAAGCATGCTTCTTTTAGAAGACGGACTAGCTAACGGAGCATTGATTACACAATATGAGATCATGTACAGGAAACATCCCGATCTCATGTGCGACGAGGCCGTTAAACCGAAAAACATTAATAAGAACAGATATAGGGATATTTTGCCGTGTAAGTCTTTTTTACTGTAGTAACTACTGCATTTTTTAAACAAGTTCATATCACGATAAATAATAATATGAAGAAAAGTTAATGGTAGATAAAATATAAAACTTAATGTTGCCTCAACTGAATGTAAAATATGCAGACGGAAGTGATATCTCATTATGGATCTTCTTTAGATGACGTTACGCGTGTCGTTTTAAAGCATTCTCCAGGTGGTGACTACATAAATGCAAATTATGTTAATATGCATATATCGGGTTCGGATGTAATTAACAAGTATGTAGCAACGCAAGGCCCGCTTCCATCTACAACCGAAGACTTCTGGCAGATGGTACTCGAAGAAGAAAGTAATTTAATCGTAATGTTAACAACGGTCGTCGAAAGGGGACGAGTCAAATGTCACAAATATTGGCCGAGTTTGGGAGAGGAATTGACACTAACCAACGTAACCGTTAAATGCCTCGTAGAGGAAACTGACGACTCACGTAGCTTCGTTTTTCGAGATTTTCTTCTGCATGATGTTAAGGTAGACTTTAATTCACATTTTTGTAACAACATAACAATTTTAATGTATATATTTTATTGAAGAACGACAGGGAGAGAAAAATAAAACACATGCAATACGTAGCATGGCCTGACCACGGCGTGCCCGAATCGCCTGAACAATTTCTTGGTTTTACGCAGCGTGTACGCGAAACGCGGGACACAGACGGAGGACCTATGATAGTGCATTGTAGCGCAGGAATCGGTCGTACGGGGGTGCTAGTACTTATGGAGACCGCTATGTGCCTTATCGAAATGGGCGAGCCCGTCTATCCCCTTGACATTGTTCAAATAATGCGCAAACAACGCGCCATGATGATCCAAAATGCTGTAAGTAGTTTATTTTTTATGCTGTTTGGACTTGATCTGCTTTATAATTAAATTATTTTGTCCCTGAAAAATTGATAGTAAATATGACAGTATTCATTCTTTTTAGAGTCAATACAGGTTCGTATGTGAAAGTGTGCTTACATTTTATACACAAAAGATTTTAGTATCCGAAAATCATCATCCGAGGTGAACGTGTACCNAGCTGCTTGTACATTGTTAACACCATACTTGTTTGGAGGTGTAGAGGATTTGCCCCACTGACTGGCCAAATACCAAAAGCCAACAAAGTATAGAAAAGCCCAAAATCCTAAAAACATTACTACACATAATTACATATACAGTCTCCAATTTTACAATTAAAATCAACTTATGAAACATAGTCTACCTGAAAATCCAAGATCTGCAAGAACATAATGTTTACGTGTTTTCACAGATGACATTTGCTCAAAAAGGTATTCACCAGCAATAAAACCCATGCTTGCTAAAAATGCTATGACTGAGATTCCAACTCCATAATTGCAAGCGTTACTATCACCATTATACAGACAAACTTCTTTTTCATCCTTATCAGTTTTCATCCATCCTTCAGATGATATACATCCAAATACTACTACTGAAAATAGCTACAATAAAAAAGTCAATAAATTACTCTAAATCTCTACACTTCAAGGAAAATACCAATTAATTAACAAACAGAAAGTTTCTCTAGATTATTAATAAATGTAATTGTCTCTATGAAGTTATATGTGCTTTAATTACTAATATATATTTGTTGTTTGATCTCATGATATAAGATTATGCACAGTAATTAAATTTAAGTTTGTTTTTTCTTCATTTTGTCTATTGGTAATATTAAATATTTTTAATGATCAATATTAAATACATTTGTGACCCACCCCTTTACCTATTTTAATCAATAAGTACATGGAAAATTTTACAAGTAATTATAGCACTAGATTAGTAGTTCTTCAACAAAATAATATTTTTCAGTAAAACATACCCAGCAGACCAAACGTAGAATAACTTGAGGTCTTTTGACAAAAGCAATAGGATCAAAAGCACTTCCAGCTTTACCACCACCGTACGCTCCAGTACCTTCCATCTTTTTAAAACTGCTTATCAAGTCAATTTACTTTTGTTGCAGTTTAATGACTTTTACGAAGATATACACAATTTTTTCTTTTAGACCAGAAAATATATTAAATAGACAAGCACACGAAAGCCATTCTTGAACTATACCTATTAGTTTTCACTGCAAAATAATACTATTGAATACTATCAATGCTAGCAACAATTGGTAAACAGTTGATTGTCAGAGTTGACACAGCAGTGTTTATTTTTTCGGTAACGTTCAGTAACATTAAAAAGAAAGCTTGTCCCGTGATAACTAATTGAACTGACAGTGATTTCAAACAATAAAAAACGGGAAATAAACTGTGAAAATAAATGATGTAATTTTTTAATACAGTAGTGCTTTTGTTTTCACAATATTTTTCAAATTTCATCTATTTGAATTTAGGGTTGAAATCAATACCTTCGTTCATGCGCATTACATTAGTTCACATTTTTCTTGCCTTTTTAACGCTTGTGGATGTATGATGGTGGTATAACATCTATGATGATTATTGATGATATGATTGATGATAGTTTGTTGCTGTTGCGGAATGTTGTATGTACGGATATCAACCTATGGAAATCAACAGAAAGAAGTCTTATGAGATACCAAAATTTCCTGTGAAAGTGATGTCAAAAAATCTTATAAAAACCATATGCGGATGTTCTATCAATAAATAATTTTTAATAATTCGTCATATTATTGAAGATTTTGATTTTTAGTACCAACAGGTGAGAAGTTAATACATGCAGATATTTTTGTGTCTATATACATAATTAATCGTAAGAACTGCACCTATTGATTTTAATGAGTAGCAGATAGAATTTAATTTAATTTATTTTTCCTGTTCATGTTTAACTAATTTACCATATAATAAAGCAAAACAGACTAGGTACTAAATAAGGAGATATATACCAAAAACTAACTATAATATACAGATGCCGGAAAGTCTACAACCGGTTCTTAGCGTGATGACAGATACAGAACCTGATCTTAGTACCTTCGAAAACAAATCAGGTTTAGCAGAAGATATGAAATTTTTGGCTTCCATGCCAGAACTTTGCGATGTTACTTTTCTGGTAGGAGATACCAGAGAGCCAGTTTGTGCGGTTAAAGCAGTGTTAGCTGCAAGATCAAGAGTTTTTCAAAAAATGCTCTATCAGGTAACTATTGGTTCACACCTACTGTAACTTTTGGTTGTTATACTGACACAAAGAGCCAAATAAATGAAAATTCAGCATATTGAAATATGTCTTCTACTTTATTATTTTAGGCTCCAAGTCCTCAACGAAAAAAGGAACCACCACCCAAAGAAAATAAACTTCGTCTATTTTTAAAGAGATCTTCTGAACCGCTTCTTAATTTACAAAATGCTTCACAACAGGTAAGTTTCTTAATATTCAACATAAATACAATATTTGTCTTACCGAAACCAAAATAAAAAATTGCATAGTAGATGTGTATCCTAAGTTGTATTTCCTTATTATTACAATTTAGAATTGTTATGATTATACCTACAACACAATTCAAGTTTATATTTTTTTATAGGTTTTTTATAAAAATGATTAACAAAACATAATAAAAAATATAGGATATGACATTTAAAACAAAACCAATTGTCTTTAGAGGGGTGATGGCATGCAGTTAAAATATTGATGTGTTTTATGTAATAACATTTCATTTATGTACCTATATTCGATTTTATGAAATACTTAGCGGAGCTTCACCCAGCAGTTGGCTCCCATCCCAGAGGTAATCCAATCCTAGATCTGTTTTACTTTCCATTTGCTTATGTTATTATTATTTTATTCATTTTTAAAGTAGATTTTTCTAATTGCTATCCAAACTCTTATTGTTTTTAAAATGTTTGACAATTAAGTAGGAATGTGGTAAAAGATGCAAATAGTTTGATTGGTTATTGTTGTGATATAAAATAATTATACATCATATCTTTCAACACATTTTTAATTATGTGTTATCTTTCCTTCCCTAATGTGCATTTAGGAATGCATGTAGTTTTATATCATACAGATATGTATTCACTCGTAATAGACAGAAATCTACATAATAATATAATACGTTTGTTTTTTAATTAGGGCGATTAAATCATTAAAATAAAATTATTTGGATATAATTGCACAGATAAATAATTCGGCCAATTCAATGTGAATTTAGTTAGTAAACTAGAAAATTAAATTTTAGAACTCATATTTAAAAGCAAGTAAGTAATAAGTAGGACATTTTTATTTTTAGTAATCATGTAATGGCATGTAACATAAATATTTCTGAAGAATATTAAATGTTAATATCTGAATTTTATCTATAGCCTCCTTCTCAGCAACATCAGACATTGATTATAGAAGAATTTGAGCCAGATGTGTTTAGGCAACTTATAGAATACATTCATACAGGATGTGTAACTTTGCAACCGCGAACGTTATTAGGTAAGATTTAAATATTAAAAAGTGAGTTTTATATTTTTTCTCCTTAATATGATCGCAGGCGTTATGAACGCAGCTGATTATTACGGATTAGACGAATTAAGAAGAGCATGTGCAGGCTTTGTTCAATGCTGCATCAACGTTGATACTGTGTGTGCTCTACTGGCATCTGCTGAAAGGTACATTCAATATAAATGTACAAAATCGTTAGTTCAAAAGGTATGATTAATTTTTGCTAAAAGAAATGATCAGATTTCTGAAACTAATTATAGGTATTAGAATTCGTGGACGAACACGGAAACGAAGTGTTAAATTTAGGATCATTTACGTTGCTTCCTCAACATGTTGTACGCTTAATATTGGCCAGAGACGAACTTCATGCAGACGAATTCACCAAATTTCAAGCAGCTTTAATGTGGAGTAATTATATTTATACAGTAATACTTTTCTAATTGTAACTGATGAATACTTTGCTGGCAAACTCAGTTACTAGTTTATTTCTAGGAAATATTTCATTATTTATTATATCAGGGACATTTGCATTTTGCAGGTAAAAAGTATTGCGATAACAATCCAACCACAGCTTTAAAAGATGTGATCGGGAACTTTCTAGAATACATTCAATTCCATAAAATCCCGGCGAACGTCCTTATGAGAGAAGTACATCCGCTAGGTTTGGTACCGTACAGTATTATTATGAATGCACTTGCATATCAGGTGAGGTAGTTCAGAAATAATATATTACAGGTTGCCACATTTAGTTATTTTGAATGAAATAAAAAAAGCGCATACATTTTAGTTTGAAATAAAAAGAAAATAACGGTTGTCGCTAAATAAGATAATCAAGCAACCGTTTTTGTAGGCAGACCCAGCAAGTATCGACCCCTCCAAACTCTCACCTAACAGAGTAAGGCGCCAAGCTCAAGGGAGGTCAATGTCGGTGCAAAGTTCATTGGATCCTTACGGTTCGAATACAACACTGAGCAGCAGTGCGTCTAGCGAGTTAGTGTCTTCAGACGGCAAACATTCGTCCAACTAACAAACGGCCATCAACGCACCCCGATCCACTCGACAACATCATCAACCTCTCCAATCGATTACGGTCCCACAATCTGCAGCACCTGTTATCATCACACGTCAAATTGAACGGTCACAATATTTGAGTCCTCATCCGTCTCCACATTCCGCATCCAGTACCAATTCTACATCGCAGTCGTCTCCCAGACACACATTCACATTCACCATCGTACTCAAAAAGGTGACTTCCATTGACAAAAACCAATTACACTAAACCGTTGCACATTTTTTTATGTGCGTTATTAATTTTTTTTATTTATATCGCCATACTTTTTTGTCTTAAATGAGCATATTATTGGTCAGTTCAGATTTAAAATTTTTTAACCCTTGCATGAAGTTCCATTCAGGATTTCAATCCTATTAAGTTTAGAAATTATTTCTGTCTACAAAATAAACCCGGCATCTGTTAAATTAAATATTCGTTAAATATTAATTATTACAAGTCGTCTTCATTTTAATATCGGTTTGTTTGTACATGTATGTATGTATTTCAACGCACTAACTATATTACATTCTCTGAAGTTTTAATTTTTATGAACATTTAGTTAATCGGCTGATGATTATAATTTATTATTTAAAACCAGATTGATCTGTCACGATTTTTGCAACGGATTTCTTAAATATCCGTTGGCGCGGTAAAATGATAAAAATATTTTTTTTTTTTTGAAATTAAAGAAAGAGTTTAAGAACAGTAAAATATTCAATTACTACTGCCTGTATACGGTACAAAATTAATTTAAAATTGTGTATCAATACCTGTCAACCGTTTTCGTGATCGAAGAACTACCGTTCTTATTTTTAGTAAAGTCGGTGTTATGTTCTCCAAATGAATGTAATTTGCATTCCATATTTGGACATTTTTTAAACGTAAATGAGTATATTATGTGTTTGTTACGAAATAATCATCTGTTTATGAGTAGAATGCAAATGCGCGGCAGTTCAATTTTAGATATATAATTAATACAAGTATTTGCTGTTGAAAAAGTGTTTAATCCATAGTTTAACCATGCTTTAAATTTTTTGTTAAGTTAACCTACCTCATCATCATTAATTAATGTCAGTAAAATCTATTGTGTATATATTAACAATTTTCATATATATTTGATTTGAGCCTGTCAGTATTATACATATTTATCCTTACTATTTTCTTTTTTGGCGTGATGTTACTCAGGCTATGTGTATGCATGTGTTTATATGTAAAAAGAAAAATTTTACAGGCTATAAATGTACTTAAAAATTGTTAATCCTCAGAACGTAAATGGTGGTGTTTAAGTAATGTATTAGACAAAACCTATCAAAAATGAATAACTTATTATTCTGCAAAAAAATTGAATATGAATATTTAAACATATACATAACTGGAAATTCAAATTTCACAATAGATAATGTTGATCAAGTTTTTATATGTTTATTTAATTAAATAATGTAATTAATGTTTGGTTGACCGAATTTCGCTCCGCAAATCTATGCAACATGGATATACATACAGTATTTCTACTGGGTTGCATACACCCGATTTAGATATGTTTTGGAACCAATTTATCACCCTTAAAACCTCCTGTTTCTATGAAACATTAAAGACTGACTCGGATACAATCACTGGACATTTCCACCTATGCCGATCGTTTATGAATATTTGCTATACATATGATTATATTTGTGACTAATTGGCTAATTAGTAATTGAATCATTACGAAAGCTTACGATTAGCTTACTTTTTAATTTAATTGTAAAATAGACTTCTCGAGGGTAAACGGAAATTTAAATTTAGTTTCTCAATACTCTCTAACCTACTATAAGATTACTTATGGTAGAAAAGCTACAAGTTAATTTATTTTAATATTATTTTTTATTTTTATTATAAGACCATAGAGCATAGACCATGTATGTCTATATAGAATCTATGGTGAATATGCAATATGGTTGAGTATGGTCAATATTATTATATTTGTATGTGTAGTATGCAATCGCACAAATTTTTTGTCGATATTCTCGGTTATGATTACGAAATACGATTATTTAAGCAATTTTACAACCGTTTATATCATTGGTAATTAATATCAATTGCAAGTACGATTAAAACAACAATATTTGTATTTGTCAAGTAACAATGAAGTATACTCATAAAAAAGGAACCAGCAGGTGGATTTTAATGCTGCTAAAAAGTGATTTGTAGTGATTTCTAACATTTTTTGTGTGAAACAGAATGTGATTGATATTTATTTTTTTCTACCGGAGATAAATATAATAGTAGCACATTTTATTCAAAAGCTTTTTCACGGTTGGTTAATATGTATATCAGTTTTAATTTAAAGATGAGGTTAGGTGCCTTCATTATTAAAGCGAAAATAATAGTTTTGTTTTATTATTTAGAATTGCCGTAATGATACTAGGCAACAAAAACAATGATCGAAAGTCTGTCTAGGCGGGCTTTAACTGGTTCGAGTGGTACTTACAACGTTCATGCATTAGAGCTGGCTGCCTTACGTGAACGGAAACTTAAAGGTCTGAAGGTGACTGTTATGTTTCTTGATGATACAGATCACACCTTTCACATAGAGAAAAAGGCAAAAGGATCTGTTTTACTTGAACAAGTTTATCAACACTTGGAACTGATTGAAAAAGATTATTTTGGATTACAGTATTCAGATGCAGGATGTTCACCATCGAATAACAAACCTGAATGTATGGTATGTTCAGTTTTTATTTTATTTACCTCAATTACTTTGTATTGTTATTACTTTGTAGCAATGGTTAGATCCTTCTAAAACGATAAAAAAGCAACTTGGGAATTGTGAATATCCTTTATACTTTCGTGTTAAATTCTATGTGTCTGACCCAAGTAAGTTAAAAGAAGAATACACAAGATACCAGTTCTATTTACAAGTTCGTAAAGATATCTTGGAAGGACGACTGCACTTGTCATCAAGCACTGCTTGCTTATTGGCTAGCTATACAGTTCAATGTAAGTTTGAAATTTTAATTATTATTTTTTAATTACACAGGTTCTTGTATTATTGTTAAAGCGGAATTAGGAGATTATCATTCTGATGAGCATGGACCAAATTATCTATCAAATCTTCAACTTATACCAATGCAAACAGAAGAAATGGAAAAGAAAATAGCCGAGCTTCACAAGTTACACAGGTAATTTAAAATATACGTTATTCATCTTATATACACACATCAGTGATAGTGATAGTCTAAAAAAAAAGCAGTAAAAATTTATTTATTAAACAGTACAAATGTTTCAACAGAATTTTGTCTTTTTCATGAGAGTAAAAATATGAATGTTCTTTGTATCAGTTTGTATTAAGTAGCTTAGGGGGTAATAAAATGTAAAATTAAAAATACCAGATACTATTTACCTTTTATTCAGAATTATTTGTAGCATCTAACAAGCTGTATTAATGAAATTTTGCTGGAGGTGAAAAAAGTCAGATATTTTTTGTTTCCTTCAAATAAACTTGAGCATCTCCCTGACAAAATTTTACATGTTGCCTATTATGCTATACTTTTTAGCACCACTAATAATGGCCACCTTATTTAGGAGCAGGGAGGGGGTGCATATGAAACGTTTAACAAATTAACATATAGCAACATTTTTGAAGTGAAACTTCTTTACGCACGGTAGGGTAACTTCGTTTCATGCGAGTTGCTATGTAACGAAATTATGCAACGGATGTCTCGTAGTGGGGATCGCTTGAGCCGTGAGCGCGCTTCAATGCAGCGTTCATTACAGGCAACTCCGGCATGTATAGTGTAAAATTTAAATTCATAGTGTACAAATAATACTATTAAACCAATTCCTTAACCCCTATCTCGGTATGTTTGTATCTATGAAGAAGTTTCACTTCAGTAGCGTGTTGTATAACTGCACGTTGTATTTTTACCAGTACAGGAATACAAGAATGTAGATAAAGAAAAGATTTTCATTTCTTAATTAATTTGATATTTCTAGAGGACAATTGCCCGCAGATGCTGAATTCAATTTTCTGGATCATGCAAAAAGAATTGACATGTATGGAGTGGAACTTCATAAGGCAAAAGTCGGTTACTAATACTTTACTACAAAACTTTCTTGTTCATAAATTAGTATTTCCTTTTATAGGATAACATGAACAGAGATATTCAGCTTGGGGTAACGTCAATAGGTTTAGTTGTCTTTCAAAATAATATAAGAGTTAGTGCGTTTTCCTGGTCGAAAATAATGAAGATATCATTTAAAAGAAAAATGTTTTTCATACAACTGCGCCGAGAGCCGGTGAGTAAGTTGAATTTAACAGTAGATATGGATATTGTTCAATTTTATTTTGTAGTCCGAATCGTACGATACCCTTTTGGGTTTCAATATGGACACATATCGTTCGTCTAAAACGTTATGGAAAGCATGTGTGGAACATCACACATTCTTCAGACTGCATTCCCCCAAAGTACGACGGAAATTCCCGCTATCGCTAGGTTCAAAATTCCGATATTCTGGTCGGACCGAATTTCAGACCGTTTCCGAAGTTAAACAACGTGGAAAATTGGAACGGAAATTCGTACGGTCTCCAAGCAAACTGGTAATTTAATTTTTCTCTTAATACTTTAGATCTCATATATTATGTGTAAACGTGTGTATAATTTTTTCCTTTTATCATTAGTTTTTTGCTTTTTGCAGTTTCGACAGTCAGTTCCACCTCCTGCTTTAGAGGAAAGAGGGAAAATATTAACCGCTCCCAGTCGACCTCCAAGGCCTTACGACAACAAAGTGACATCGTTAGGAGCGAAAGAACCCCGAAAGGCATGGGAAGACGATTGCAGGATATCTGATGAGTATACTTTACAAACTTTATAGACAAAACAGTCTTTACTTACTATTCACTTTTTATTATTCTAAAGCGACGGAGGTTTCTTGGAACGTACGTTGGAGGGTCCATTCTCTCCCAGTTTAGCTGGTAGGGTTATTAGTTACGCAGATGAAGAGCTCCCCTCTCCTACAACAAATGAACTGTATGAAACTCCTCCATATAGTGCATCACCAACTTCACAAGTCGTCGAAGATGGACTGGTAATGATAACACTATTTCCAGATGAAGAAGGAAAATACGGTTTCAATGTTAAAGGTAATGAATATTTTTAAATTGTTATTATAAGTTAACATTATGTTTAGTATATTTTTTATAAATACACTTCAGAAAATAAAGCAAACAAGGTTTCTAAAACAATTTGTTGTATTGTCCACGGTAAATGATCATCATTTTTTAACCTGTACAAGCTTTTGTACGGCGAAAGANATGATGTTCGTACTGTTATATTTGTAGTATCTCTAAGTGGCTATGATATGACGTTATTGGTATGCTAGATTGCATATTTAATTATTTATTATATCCCTTGGTTGGCTTTTGTTTTTAGGAAGATCCTTCGGTGAATAGATTGGAAGAGAGTCTAAATTTGTTTGGACAAATTGTTAATAATCCTTTTTTTAGGGATGCCTCTTTTATACTGCTTATGAATAAATTTGATCTATTTAGGGAAAAAATTTTGTATTCCAACCGACACCTGCGACTTTATTTTTCAGATTATAACGGTAAGAGCAAATTATAATTATTCTAATTTGTATATGTATAAATATAAATTCAGAAGAAATTGCACTTTAAGGTCCTGATAGGGATGTGGATAGAGGAGCACTGTTTATACAACATAAATTTGTTTTAAGAAATGGAAATTCTAGAAAAGTACTTTTTCCACATTTTACAACTGCTACTGACACTGCCAATGTTCAGGTTGTCTTTCAGTCAATCATGGAAATAGTGATTTCAGAAAATCTCGGTCAGGTAACTCTCCTTTAGAATTATAAATGTGTACATAATGTACATATTCTAAGCTTTAATAATTTTATTTTTATACGCTTTTTGATTGACTTTGGAATTAATTTAGAGTAGTTTGGTATAAAAAAGACTCTATGATCTCATTACATGCCATTTCTGTAGTTTTTGATTTTTGGATATGCTGCAACCTGTGTATAATTTACAAGGTGTTTCTTTGCAAACAGTTTAACAATTAGAGCCCAGAATTTTGTAACTATTGTTTTTAAGTAGTTTTTTGTGTTTAATATATCGTTTTTTTTTATTCAAAGTTCATGATAAACTATTTGTTAGAAAACCAAAAAAAGTACAAAAATATTTCGTTCAAAATGTACTTTTATGACGCTGACATTTACTTGCCTTAAATAATAATGATATTTTTATCATAGATCGGTGCAATATAACTATATAAATGAATAGGTTGTAGAATATTTTTAAATTGTTATTATAAGTTAACATTATGTTTAGTATATTTTTTATAAATACACTTCAGAAAATAAAGCAAACAAGGTTTCTAAAACAATTTGTTGTATTGTCCACGGTAAATGATCATCATTTTTTAACCTGTACAAGCTTTTGTACGGCGAAAGAATATTATGGACAATGACAACACATTAATAAACACTTAATTAAAAACCAACACCAATAATGGCATAGTTATTATTGAAACTTTATTTGGTTTATTTTTTGAAGTTTATGAAAACAGTTTCAACATATGTTACCTACAGTCATCCAAGTTTAATAAATCTGTACAGGTGGTGCGACAGTGGATGTTCCGATTCAAGTGTCTCGCGTAGCACCCGGTACTCCAGCAGACAAATGTGCCCCTCGTTTATCAGAGGGTGATCAAATCGTTCAGATAAATGGGCACGATGTTACGCATGGGCTTCATCAGACCGTCGTTCAGTATATACAAAAAGCAAGAAGGACTAATGAAGGTACGTAAAATTTACAAAAAAAAAAACGTTCTATTAGGTGGTATGTAAGATAATATAGTTTTAACTTTAGGCAAGTTAGTTTTGGTAGTGAAACCGAGCCCAATCTATTCTGGTGACGAGTATGAGGAGCCTCCTTACCATTACGTTCCGGTAGGTGACGTCCTAAGGACCCCATCGCCCAGTAATGCACTGGAACAAAGCATGCTTCTTTTAGAAGACGGACTAGCTAACGGAGCATTGATTACACAATATGAGATCATGTACAGGAAACATCCCGATCTCATGTGCGACGAGGCCGTTAAACCGAAAAACATTAATAAGAACAGATATAGGGATATTTTGCCGTGTAAGTCTTTTTTACTGTAGTAACTACTGCATTTTTTAAACAAGTTCATATCACGATAAATAATAATATGAAGAAAAGTTAATGGTAGATAAAATATAAAACTTAATGTTGCCTCAACTGAATGTAAAATATGCAGACGGAAGTGATATCTCATTATGGATCTTCTTTAGATGACGTTACGCGTGTCGTTTTAAAGCATTCTCCAGGTGGTGACTACATAAATGCAAATTATGTTAATATGCATATATCGGGTTCGGATGTAATTAACAAGTATGTAGCAACGCAAGGCCCGCTTCCATCTACAACCGAAGACTTCTGGCAGATGGTACTCGAAGAAGAAAGTAATTTAATCGTAATGTTAACAACGGTCGTCGAAAGGGGACGAGTCAAATGTCACAAATATTGGCCGAGTTTGGGAGAGGAATTGACACTAACCAACGTAACCGTTAAATGCCTCGTAGAGGAAACTGACGACTCACGTAGCTTCGTTTTTCGAGATTTTCTTCTGCATGATGTTAAGGTAGACTTTAATTCACATTTTTGTAACAACATAACAATTTTAATGTATATATTTTATTGAAGAACGACAGGGAGAGAAAAATAAAACACATGCAATACGTAGCATGGCCTGACCACGGCGTGCCCGAATCGCCTGAACAATTTCTTGGTTTTACGCAGCGTGTACGCGAAACGCGGGACACAGACGGAGGACCTATGATAGTGCATTGTAGCGCAGGAATCGGTCGTACGGGGGTGCTAGTACTTATGGAGACCGCTATGTGCCTTATCGAAATGGGCGAGCCCGTCTATCCCCTTGACATTGTTCAAATAATGCGCAAACAACGCGCCATGATGATCCAAAATGCTGTAAGTAGTTTATTTTTTATGCTGTTTGGACTTGATCTGCTTTATAATTAAATTATTTTGTCCCTGAAAAATTGATAGTAAATATGACAGTATTCATTCTTTTTAGAGTCAATACAGGTTCGTATGTGAAAGTGTGCTTACATTTTATACACAAAAGATTTTAGTATCCGAAAATCATCATCCGAGGTGAACGTGTACCGTGTAATTCTTTTTGCTTTAATTTATAAAACATATTTTAATTATTATTTACGTTTGTAATGACAAACATTTAAAAGAAGTATAGAAAAGACTTCCACCTGTGTGCAATGTACCTAAACAATTTCGTATTAAATTATCTTTTTACTATTATTTTGACATGCATGTATTAATTACTCCAAGACTGTCATTAATTAGTTCTTTATCAAACAAAGCAATTTTACTTTTCTGAACAAGTAAATTGTTATTTTGAATATTAATTTTCCTACACTTGGGTTAATTGTTTGAGTTGATTATTGCTTATTAGATAACACATTTAAACAAAAATTAAAAGTCGTCAGGAAGTAATCTATAATTTTAATTTGATTTTGAAATATAAGAAAATCAAATTAAGTTCTGTAGAATTGAACTAATCGTAAGTAAAACACTAAATCTCAAAATTCCACATGAAACGTTTATCATCATCGTCAGTTATCGTCGGTTAGCGTTTAACTTACGACGAGAAAAATAATGCTTTGTTTGGAATTTACTGTTTTAATAATTATTTATCAAATGCTTTTCATTTTCACATTTCGTTTCGTTTTTTATTTTTACAAGTGTCATATTTTTGTTCCTTCATTTGGTCTTAGGAAATATAACATTTTCTTACTTGCTGCATTCGCGTATGATTAGTTATAATGTTGTAATATTTATAGACATTTTAAAATGTCTTATTTATTTTGCTAATGTCTCCGTTTTAAACCGTACTTTGTTTAAATGTACGTATAAGAGTTTTCGTGTTAAATTATCACTTATTGAGGATTGTTTTGTTTAAATAATTATAATAAATCCTATAAGATAACTTATTGCAGTGCATAATTGATTCTTTAATTTTAAGTACTTCTTAAAAGGAAAGGATTTGAGGGACTACCAACCGGTATAAACTATTTTTATCAGCATTGGTATTAACATAATTACACCTTTTATTTATTAAAAAAAAATCAATGGGCAAAGCCCTTTTCTTTGAGATACATACATAAATTTTTATTTTTTATACTCGAAATTAGTAAAAATCTAATGAAAGCAGTAAATTATATTTCTATAACATGTTTAAATATGTGTACTATACACTACATACAGATTTATGTTATACTTTGTTGTGATTTATCAAGAAGTACTACTAGTTTTTAAATTCCTAATTTGATGGTATCTGTATTTAATGTATAAATAAAGTGTAATTAGCAGACATTGCTAATTGATTAGTAGAGAAATGTTGAAAAAGAAGTATACCCATGTATGTGAAATATGCATTTTCTTTTACTTGCAATACATGTGTTAGCTAGGTTTTTTGTACTTTCCCTGTACCCAAATACGATACATTTTCAACTTTTTCCCTCTGTTAACTTGCAACCTCCTATCTATCCTGTTATCTTCTTCTGAAAAGCCAGCACTCAAAAACAGATTTCTAATTTCTTCTAAAGAAAAAATTATAACACTGGATGATTATAATTTACCTATATTAAAAATAAATATCAAACCTTGTGTGAAAAAGTATACTCTTGTGCCATCTCCTCTTACATAAAAATTGTCTGACAAACATTTACCAAGTTTGAATCTTATTTGAGCTAAATCAAAACGTCCATAATCTCTAAACACCAAGGTTCCTCCAGGTTTTAAATATGAATAAATCTGTTTGATAATATGGTCAAATCTGAAATATACTTCTATACTTTATACTTATATATTTTTTTATATTATAACTTACTTTTCTGGCATTATGGCTGATAGGACAAACACTAAAATAATGATATCAATACTGTTTTTTTCAAATGGAACATCCCAAGCTTCATTAGTTACATCGAGGACAAATCCGCTACATCTATCTTCATTATATCTAGGATGCAGTTTCAATATTTCTATTGCATTTTTAGAAAAGTCACATCCATAAATAAAAACGTTTTGATTTTCACAATATTGTAGGATAGGAATCATTGTATTTCCTACTCCACATCCTATTTCAAATATAAGAGGCTGTGAACTACCTGTATTTTTTAAATTTAATTCCGGAAACTCTGTAAATAACCATTGTCTATCTTTAAAAAATCTGTTTGAGTGTATGTTATAAAAAATATCCCAAAATTTGGAAGCTTCTGTTTCATACTTTTCAATTTCTGTTACAGATAGTGTAACCTTGCTGTTTACTGCCACCTTCTTTTTAGCTTCTTCATCTTGTTCTTCATTCCATGCCACATCATCCCTGCAAGTTACATTGTTTTATTAAAATGTATTTTCAAAATACACTTTTTTGTAATATGGTATGTTAAAAATACTTAACATACCAAGCATTATGTTCGTAAACATTTTCTTCGTTAATTAAGTATCTAGTTCCAAATTGAGGTTTCTTTAATTGATGCTGTTCCGAAGTTCCTGTTTCTTCCATTTTAAAATACTACTAAAAACTGACCGTTGTTTACTATTGTGGGTATTGTTGCTGAACATAGATGCTAAACCATGCTTAACGATTATAATTGATTTATCATACATTTATTCCCGTAATCCATGATAACTATTATCTATGCATGATAATTTGTAATACGATCATAGATAAGTTATTTATATGAATTATTTTCTTAGTATAACATTGGAAGTGTCTTCTGTACGGTTTGACCGTGTTTTTAAATTTTTAGATGAACAGTCCGATCACGTGTAGACATCCAGGCAACCCGAGTCCTAATTAATGCACGTGTTCTGTTTCAGGTCGATAAAATGAAGTGTTTTCTTAAAAATATGCCTATTTATAAGTTCAATGTTAATCCTGCCAATAACCCACAATAATTTTATATAGTTTAAAATTAACATACAGTCCGACAAACTTAAAATGTTAGGATCATGAGATTACGGTAAAAAAGACAATACTCACAAAGAAACAGGCTAAATAAATCAATATTTTTCTAGGTCAAATGGTGATCCTGATTCATAGCGATCACAGCGCCTTCTATTTTAATTTTATTGTTACATTTTGTATACCTATGTTATATACCGAGATTCATAGAGATTAGATTCCTTATGAAAAGACTTAAAAAAATCAAACATTATAATTATATTATAAAAAGCGACCTTGAAAATATAAAAATAATCATTCGAAATTTCGATAAGACATTAATAATTAAACAGTGCTCTAGAGTTTGTGTTTCGACAGTTTCGGTGCACATGTTTACATTCCAGAGCCACATTCATGCAATATTCGGAATTTTGTACAGTAAATAAATAAATAAATTTAAAAAAAAATATTAACACGTATTTGTTTTGACCATTTTGACTACCAGTGTGCAGTCTTTAATCGATTGTGGTCAAGTATTAATGAAACTAAAGGGCCAAATGCACCAAATTTAAATACAAACTTTAATGTTAGTAGTGTCGCTATCGTAAACTATTAATAGTGAATCAGTAAAAAGAAATTGACACCTGTCAACATTCGGGTGGTGTGGTGCTGATAATCTCGGAATTCCCGTATTTGTATTATAGCTTATATGCTTAACAAAGCCGTGACAGGTCATTGGGTGTTTTTTTATATAAATGTAAAATAAGTGCCTTAGCAGCAAATGTACACCAAGTTGTGGGCTACTTTAACAGTTTAGGTAAGTTGTATAAATTATGCAATAATCAGATTCATATGCAATTGGTAATTATTAATAAATCGGGTAAAAATCTATTTCATTTTGTGACAGTAAAACGCCTTTTTAATATGTCTGTAAAAGTATTATTGGTGATATACAATTAAATATTGCAATAAAAATTCACTATTTATTTTAGGGCGCGGTCCCGAAATGTCGAATCCTAGTCACAATAAAAAATAAAATATCAATAAATCACGTACATAAACATATCATCTGCAATTAATTAATAAACTAGCAAAACTATGCGAACAGACAATTTACGATTATACAAATAAAAAAACATATTTTACTTTGTTATGATACCTACTTATTCCAATCAAACACTGTACTTTTTATGAAAACTGGAAATGGGTTGGTTGGTGGGTATTTATATTGTATTTTATAATGACTGGCATATGAACTAAAATAATTAAAAATAGAAAATAGCTACAATTGTATGAAAGGTCACGGGCCTGAAGAAGTATCAAATAAATAAAAAAAATGGCTGATTCTTAAATATTTCCTTGAAGTACTGCCTCTAATATTTACTACGTTCAATTTGATATCTGTAATTTATATTGTAACCTTATAAAATTAAAGTTATACTTTTATGTTAAAAAATAAAATCGATATTGAATACCTCTCCATCAAAGCATTATTTAAATGTTTATTGTATTCAAATTGGAAAATGTTATGTTTCACCAATTTTCGATTCGCTGTTATTGTTTTTTTGCTAAATAACATTAATTATTTTTAATAAAGAAATATAGGTTACCATTAAAACCATATTTTAAATTAAAAAAACATTTTGATCGGTGGGTACCAACCTAGTTGGTTACTGTAGGTAAGGTACTTAACATAAAAATTATACGTTTCAGTGTCGGTATTTTCAAACTTTTCAGTAGGTATATAGCGAACTTATTGTAATAGGTCCGATCATAAAAATCGCGGTTTTCAACATATTTTGAAATTTAGTGAGCATATATCACGACACACGCACAGGTGTGCCTGGTCATTTTTTTTTCTGAAAAGAATTCGGTTGAATTGTTTTTTTTAAACGAAAAGACTGAAAATTAGTAAATTCTGCAAATTTTAGAAAAATATCTAATTGGTTCTTATATAACTCGATATCTTGAAATAAATCAGATAATTTTATTCGGTATTAGATAAAATACATTTATAGTTTTTTGTAACATTAACAAAAAATAATAATAAAATTATGATTAAATGTGCTTAAATTTTTGATTTTCATGAAAATTACTCTATCATACTGGGAAGTTATTCGTGTGGACGTTAAGGGTCGTATCAGTGATGCAACGTACAGAGTCCAGACCCATTTCACGACTTGTTTTTTTTTATATCGCACGAGCGGAAATGCATAACTTAGTGAATGTGTAGAATATGTGTTTCCAATCACATCTATCTGAAAATATTAAGCACCTGCTTATCTGAATGCTGTCCTAAACTAACTGAGCTCTCAAAATCTTTTGAACAAAGCGTAATACTAATCAAAAGCTTTAAATTTTATTTGTTTGAAAGAATGATCGCAGGTATTTTCACGAATTTTCCTATACCATGTCGTATTTTCATAAAATCAGAAGTTAATTAATCGTTAATACCTACTTTCGATTGGATTATTGTAATCAATTATGATACTTATCACATTAACTTCTAGAGTATCAATATTCTCTTTAGTTAAACTATAATTGCAGAAGTAAAAATGATTAGTCGTAAAAATGTAGCTACGCATGCGACTGTTTTCAAAAATCAATAGTCAAGAAGAGAGCTCCATTAAGATGGATCTTTTCTGTCTAGCCAAGTTGGCTCCAGAATTTTAACCCAAATTTCATTGACCGACGATCATTCTATACAACAATGATTTATATGATTTGTCCACCGCTTTGCTGTGAACTTCGCGAAAATCGTCAAATCTGAATTAAAGTATAAGTGATAATAAGTTATTTCAAATAGATATTTACCCAGATTAAAAATTTGCCAAATAAAATAAAAGAAGAAGTTGACAAAAATTGAAACAGGCATTAAGTAAATGCGGGAATACAGTATTATAATAAGAGTAAATAAAAAACCTGTTGAAACCATAAATAATTTATTTAATGTGAAATTGAAAGATATAGGAACATTTTTTTTTCTAACATAATTTCTTTTATCTAAATAATTTTGTCAATTCAGAAGATACAATCCAATCAAAAACTTGAATTTACTTAATTCCAGACCTGTCCTTACTAGTCGTCATTTGTGGTGCGGTTGCTGTAAAGGGTTCTACAGTGTTGCGAAGTCGGGAAACGTGTACGTTAATAAGAGTTAATTCCTCATATCGTTCAAGCCATTGTAATTGCATACGTACAAGTATAATTTTTTAAAGTTTTTTCGCGTTTCTCTAGGCTATATTGTGAAATGAAAATTACGAAAAAAAAAATGTTTTCTAAAAAATTGTCCTTTTATACCTTATAATAACTAAATTGCGGACGTGGCAACAGTGCGCAATACGTGTGTTGACCCTCTGTCGGCAAATTCGCGAACGCTTTCGAACCCAGCAAGATGGTGTCCGTTTTTTAGTGAGGGGAGTGGCGCATTAAAAAACCGTAAAATTGTAGTGTAACAACAATAATACGTTGTCCGTCGGTGAGCCTACAGGCTATGGTGACCTCGGGCTTTAGGCAGCGGCTGATTATTTCAGTGCCGCGGTATGACATTAACGATGTGGGCCATGAGACCCATGACATTTAATACTTAGAGACACACCCCTTATCTTCTCTTCATCACTCTTTTACACGCATATATACAATTATAATTCACATGTTAGTAATCCCCATACAATTTAATTTATCAGTGCAACAACTGTCTGTGATAAAAGTTAATATGGCCGTACGTATGGAAAACCGAAAAATTAACTGCAAAATAATGGTATGTCTAGCATATTTTATATATGTACAAATATGCATACATATGTATGTACATCTTAAGTAAGTTCATTGACCTTTACGGTTTTTCCGTTCTTTAAATTTAAATCGTTGTTAATGGTGTTCACTAATTTCATCATTACATATTGTATTAAACTTTTCTAATTGTAAGTGCAATTTACAAGAGATTCATTTTTCTTTAGCTGAATAGTGATTATTAAAAGTAACGTTGATATTACCTTCAAAACAATTTTCCGTTAAATTTAAATCATACTTCCATTTTTGTGAGATGAATTATTAATACCTGTACAGTTACCTATTATAACAATAAATTGTAATAACTAGCATGCTGAACTTATAGGCGATAGGTGTATGCTGACATTAGGCTAATTTCCAATTTTCCAAACTTTTTAAGATACAGTAATTTAAAATGTCTAAGTAGGTATTAGCTAATTATAATTATAAATTAACTTTATAGATATGCCTCCAAGCAGTATATTAGTTTAATACAACTTTTGTATTTGGTGTTTGTATGTAAAAAAACATACAGTAATTCTATTGATTACATGACGAGATTATCAGATTACATGTGATTAGGTACTAATCGTTGTTAAATGTTATAGAATAATAATAATGACTCTATCCCTGTTTGTCATTACATCTTCATTGCCTTAAGGCACATGTTCTCTTGGCGTGGGTGTAACGTGTAGAACATATCGGAAATCGAACTGGGCAGACAGAGGACCGCCCCTAGAAGCCGGAAGTCTCTGACGTAGTGCCGGCTTTCGCGATTTTAGTTATCGTTTCAGGTTGGTGTTGGGTGGAAGCTTTACAACTCGCCATGCAGCTGAATCATTTTCTGTTTAGTTAATAGCTTTGTCTTGGTTTTTGTTATTTCTTTCTGGTAGTTGCAGTCATGATTCCTTAAGTTGCGATTATCGTCTAACGTCGTGTTTGTGATGATAACAATTCGGTTTCGGTTTGTGAACTCGTGCGCCCGTGCCGTGTCATTGCCATCATCGGAGGGTAAAATTCATAAAAGGCGTGTGCATATTTCTGAAGTTGGTTTGGACACCCTTACCAGGATCTTATGATTAGTTAGTATCTATTATATCACACTGTATGGTTCACATAAAATTTTTATCTGGGCACTCTTAATATTAATGTGTATATATATATATATATATATCTTCAATATAGAAATATCTACATACTAAAAGGAAAAGATATAAATATTTTTTCATTTGTGTAAATTAATTGTAATATTTTTGCAATGCATGATGTCGATTTGTCTTCAGATGACCTATCGTCTCCTAAATGTTAACTAAGTATTATAATATGTAGATACCTATACATATGTGTACTTGAATACGATCGCAACTTCATCAGCAACCGTCTGTGTCAGGCTGCCAGGTGCTAGTGCACTATGACAAACATTCCTCACATTCTGTTGTCATACTGGCCATCGTAACCCACTTCAGTTCGATTAACATCCAATTATATATCACGCACCCATTAATAATAATTTAAATAGACAAACCTAATTATTTTAAAATAAACAAAAGTATCTACTGCTACTATCTGTGGTACGTTCCTACATTGGGAATATCTTATGTTGGGTACATCCTATCTCGTTTTTATATTTTTGCAATTTTTAGCACACGCAGATTGTTGTTCGAAAAGGTAATTTCGATAAGTAATAAAATAGGTAGTATTCTACCTACGTGTGATAAATTTCAAAGTTTCAATAATTGCATGTAGCACTGTACATGCTCATTTGTCTAATTAAAAGTTACACAGCTGATTGGCCGCTTTCTGATTGACCAGTTAACTGGCGGCGACGCGGGCGCACACTACTTTTCATTGTTATTTCGTTTTCTGTCTCTGTCTGCGGTCAGTCGTATTATAACCTTTGTGTGAAACATGTGATTTGTGCATGCAATTTTAGTTCGCTGTAACTTGGATGCTCTTCTTGGTGTTGTTTCTCAATAATATTGCCTTTGCCTGTTTGTCGAGTGTGTTATATCGTTGGTGTGTGCATATTTCTTGAATTTATTAAGGGCTATTTTTTGTCAGTGTTTATTTTCCATCAATTTCTGTACAAAATCAGGTGAGACTCGGCAGGATTTCTCATATTTTCTTGGTTATTAGTCGTTAAATTGTTGTCAAGGAGTTAGGGGCGTAGTCTGAAAAGGTTTTAGGGGGTCTTGTGCCTAAATTTTATTGGCTACTGGAGCTGCATTTGAATTCATTGTAACTAAGCAGGGGAGGGCCGCGTAGCCCAGCCAATGAACTCTAGGAACAAGTGTATGAGCACTACCCATTCTCCCTCCTTTAAGAAGCTTCACTCCCCTCGTCTATAAGCACACTTTATGCTCCGTCCCTGTATTATTCCGTATACATTAGTCATGTCAAAAGTCGTAAGGGAGGAGACACAATTTGTAGGTATTTTAGATTAGGAAAAGATTGATTGAGTATCTACCTACCTCTAGGTCTTTCCGAGAACGCTGATCCAGCCATATCCGTAACACATGTACATGCATTTTATTGCTAAAAATTTGATAACATTAAGTTTTGTTTGCCAAGATAAGGACTTCGAGATAGCGGTTCTTATTTTAAAACATATAGATAATTACCACACATTTTGTTGTTTTAAATAAGATTTTACTAATCAATTGCAATCTCATTGGAAAGTGAAATCGGGAATTTTTATTAAACTTTTTACTTTTGGAAAGTTATTTGTAAGCCCAGTATTTTTGGTATGTTCGTAGATATGCATGTAATGACTGAATTGTCTATTATAGTAGCTATATTATTACAATGTCTGTTTTCATGTGCATCATTACATGCTTTAATGTCAACTAGGTAGAATATCATCTATCCCAGTTGCAGTAATTTCAGTTATAAGACAAAAACTCAATTTCTACTATTTTCATTCGCCTGTACGTATAAAAGATACGTATCTTTTATATCGCTTAATAAAGTCGAATGAAATTCTACTAAACCCTAATCTTTAAAAAGTTAAGTCGGTCGTCTTTACGGAATTTTACGTATCTGTTGCCGTTTTTGGATTGAAGGTAGTGAATTATTTGTTAAGAGTCTGACATAAATAATAGCAAATTATAATTTATATTTATTTTTAAGTTTTATTTCGATCTGCAATTACGTTCGTTATATTAGCCCCAAATATTATTATCGTTAGTTTTTTAGGTAGGTACCTAATAGTAAGTTAAAAAAATAGAATTTAGTGTTTGCTAAAATATTTAATTCGGTTTCTAAATTCATCATTTTTGAATTCAATATTTTCAATTTACCATTGATTGTTGTTTCAGGTAAGTTGGAGGATTACGATGACTCTGTAGGATATAAAATTCCAACATCAAGTTTTTGTGAAAGGTAAGATTTAAGATGATTCATAAATAAGGTACCCAGCCAACAGTCAATAGGTATACAGACATATCTAATTAGTGGAGTGTTTTAAAGATGGTGTTTACATAAATAATTCTTATTCCTTTTGCAACTCATAGTACATAGTACTTGTATATCTAGTGTAGTTGGCTTCATCTAACGAGAGAGGTGGTGTTTTGTTTATAGCTACATACTTACGTTACTGTTATTTCAAAAATTCATATTATGCATGTAGAATTATCTGGTCTACGCATCGTTGTAAGCTGTCGACATGTGTATATGCTGTAAAATAATATAACATGGACTTGTGCAGTATTTATGTATACCTGTATGCAAGTTATGTGAATGTGAAGGTACCTCTATAATGACAGCACCTACTTTCAGTATAACGACCTTCCAAGGTCATTCGAAGTCTTGCAAATTTAGAATTAGCCACGAAATGAAACGTTGATGTCCTAAATACGCGTCAAAGATTATCGACTAACACATAAAACTAATTTTTCTATCACGGAAATAGTATTAATAATAGTGCCCCTGACATTGTATGTACAAAATTTCATGATGATTGGTTGAGTAGCTAAGGCTAGTAAACTCACATTCCCATTTATAATATTAGTTAAGATAAAACTAAAATTTGGGATTCCTGAGGTTTGAAAACTTATCATAATCATTTTAGTAAAAGTTCAGTAATTTAGAATTTATTTAATTTTTCAAATGTGTTTAACGAATAGTAAAGAATCTTGGATGCGTCAAATTTTGTGAATGAGAACGATGAGAGATTGGGTTCCGTAACCATACCCACATTTGTATGTATGTAGTCGATGGATGGACGAATGGGTAGCATTACACGCTTCCTCATCGCTAATTTACTTGGAATGTGGAGGCACCCGATTGCTGACAGTCGTGAAGGAATGCGTTTCAATGCCACGTCCGGTAGATTGCACCTCAGAATCTGGGTTAAGCGAGGTCGCTGTCCGACTACGGTCACGCTCCACTCGTACTGTATCTTTCTACATATAACCTACGAAGAAATTTGCTTACCTGCTTGTGTGATGCTGGTTAATGGACTTTAACAATAAGACCTCGAAAGCTCATCTTCCGTATTAAAATGTTTCTTCCGGCAAGAAGCCAACCAGCAAAAGTTAGCATTGCTAGAAGAACTTCTTTTTATTCACTGTTTTTTTACTGAAATGTCTTCATATTTTTCTGGATACTTATGGCGAAATAAGGATGTTTAAACAAAAGAAAAGTTAATTTGACGCAAAAAAGGGAGACTTTTTTCTTTAGTTATTCAAAAGTATTTAAAAAGTGGAAGTAACGTTTAAACAATAAGAATTCATTTGGCACAAAAATGAAATTATACATACATACACTATGAAAACCCCCCGCCCTTTCCTAGGCCGGCATTAAATTCTGTAGGTCTGGAGAAATTTCTTACGCCAACGCTGGCCGAAAATCAGACGTGTTGGTGGGCATCTTTTTCGCTCACCCTCTTTCTACTTGTAGAGGGAAAGAGAGGAGAGTTGACCAGCTAGATTAGATTCTATTAGTCGACCTTTTAGTGAATATATCGAATAGAAGTTATTTTAAAAATCTTCTAAAGCTAACCTGTTAGGATCAACCGATAGTCAAAAAATTGCCGTTTTAAAATATTGTGAGCAGATAGCGCTTTCGGAATGCTTATGTTAGCTTATATATATATATATATAATTGCAAGTAACGGTATTTACAATTTGTAAAACCATAATTCGGTAAATGTTAAATTACTCATTTTTAATTTGTTGAAGGACAGCAGCGGTACTACTACAACAAGCAATCCTGAGAGCTGTTCCCACAATTGTCATTACAATAACGGGGGAAGGAGTATCAGCGTTAGTAGCAGCAATAACCACAACCAACTTTCATCCCGCTCTCCGTCGTCGGCGGCAACGGGTGGCGTAAAGCCCCCGATGGCCACTCAACACCAGACCAGCTTTCGCGGCCAGTGGGGTGGTCATCCCGCTACAGGGTCTTATTACCAACGTTACCCACCTGCTGCGCAAGCCCAACTTAACATATATTCACCCGCTGTCGCCGCAGCTACCTCAAACGCCAACTACAACACTCCCTCAAATACCAATTCTAGTGTGAGTATTCGTTTTTATTTTGTACATTTAGATCGCGTCTCGATAATATTTTAATAAAAAGAATAGAAGGATAATAAAGGACACCGCTGTAAGTAAATTATTAAAAAAAAAACGGATTGATCTTCAATTACTCGAAGTATGAACCTTTGAAAAACCGACGTTCGTTTTGCCCACTTATTTTTATTATTATTAGTATCAATGCGATTCTTGAAGTGATCGAAACAAATGTCGATTTCTTCAAAAGTAACTTGTGGTAATTAGGGGTATCTTTGATTCACATGTGTGAAGCGCACCAAGGATTTAAGTTAGGTAGTGGTGGGAAGTGTTCCCCCATTGGCATAAGTAAAGCACATGCACCAAAACCTTGAGCTAGGTTATAATTTCAGAGCTGTGCACCATCGGTAACGATACCTATTCATCTAAATTTGAACGGGTTCAACTAGAAATATAGAAATTCAAGAAAATGATATAAAACTGATCATCTAATGCCAGAGTGTAGTTGGTTGCCTAATTTATAAAATAAGTGATACTTTAATTTGCCCTCTTTTAGTACGGAAATCATCGAGTGCCAACAGCAGCATCACCAAGTAACACGAGTAGTTCTAGTAGTCACGCAGGCAGTCAGAGTGGCACCGCTTCTACCTCTTTGGGCAACAACATGCCATCTCAAACCCAAAACAGTTCATCCCACTCAAATTCACACTCCAGTTTACCCTCATCGGCCAGTGGTAGCGGCGGTGGCGAACAACTATCTAAGACCAATCTTTATATCCGTGGCCTCACTCCCTCCACCACAGATAAGGACCTTGTTAATTTATGCTCCCAGTGAGTAATATAATGTTTTATTGTTCTCATTAAAAATATTTAACATTGTCGCTTTACTTTATTAGCCTGGACATCGAAAACATCTAAATAGCTGTTGAGAATGTTGCTGTGTATTTAAAACTGATTAGGGCTAATGCGTATAATCCTTTGTCATCTCGTGTTTATTTCTTCTTTATCGTTTTTTTTTTTTTGCAGATTTGGTACAATTATTTCGACTAAAGCCATTTTAGACAAAAATACCAATAAATGTAAAGGTAAGACGAGGTCACTAATTTATAAAAAATAATCGCTCGTGCTTGAAACTTCTTGTTATTGTTTTTAGGATATGGCTTTGTTGATTTCGACTCGCCAGCAGCGGCGGAGGGTGCAGTGAAAGCACTGGTTGCCAAAAACATTCAGGCTCAGATGGCCAAAGTGGGTATTTGGTTTACCCGTAGACAGCACACTGTACGTTTGCATGCAAGTAATAAATAGCTTTACTTGTGTTTTTGCTTTTATTCAAGTGCTTGTGTTTTCCTTTAAAATGAAAGTTAAATTAGAATAAATTTAAGTACAGTATTTGTTCGGAAGTGTAGGATTTAAAATGTATATGTGGTACGTTTTTAGTTTTAATTTGCATGAGTTTTACGTTTCTCAATCCACCATTACAAAAGGCAAATACGCTGGAACGTATGCCTCAAGCATATCACTTGATCATGACAAATGTTAACTCTACTTGACTGTAAACGATGATAAACAAACGTGAAGTTCAGTCACTATCGATCGGATTCCTTCGTGCAGATTAGGTTGATGACGCACATGTAATCTTAATTTATTAATAAAATAATAATAATATGTAATATGCATATAAAATACATATTTTAATAAATTAAAATAGTTATGTTAGTGTTCAACAATTCAGCGAATTGTAAGAGAAGGTCATTGAAAGGTACTTATTTGTTATTGTTAGTGTTTTTAGACAGCGCAGGGTAGGAATATTATTTAATTTGTATCAATTGGAAAATTGGGAGCCATAAATGTTAAACATTTAAATTAAAAGTTCAAACGAGATAGCTTTTTAACCCTACCCTTACCTTACGATTGTTATTTTCGATGGTGGATGCGCTATTGTATCTAATTGGTGTATCTCGATTGTTTTAACTAATTTTTTTTTTAACGCCTGAATAAAAGCAGAAACAGTGTTAATATAGTAGTAGAGGATAAAAAAATTAATCATTTTACGGTTCTAGTTTGGAAATTAGGTAGAAACATTAGGTAGTTGCAAGCATGCGTTTTTATGATCTGCATATATATGGTAAGCTAATATTGATAAAGAATTGGTACATACGACATTGTCCGTATATCACAATTAATTATAAGGGCGGATTATTGTTCCCCACACCTCTTTAATTTCTATCTTTATTATTTTTTTCCTGTTTATAGTAAAACTTTTCGTAAGTACACTTGCTAGTATTTTTATTTGTAAAATGTCTTTAAGTATCGTGTAAATATTTATGATTTGCATTTTCTGTTATTTCTCGTTTGCATGTCGTACACCAGGGGTGTCAAACTCAAAGGCTTCCTTAGACTAAACAAACAAGGTTTAACTCAGCCGCAAAAAAAAAAAACAATATTCGTTTAACAACAAAGTACACTTAATTATGTAACAGTTGAGCATTTCATCAACTTTTTTAATCTGTTAAAAAGTCTGGTAATAAGTGTACGCATTTCATTTAATAAAAAAAACACAACGTGTAATTATACAACACGCTACTGAAGTGAAACTTCCTCAAACACACAAAAGCATACCGAGATAGGCGTTAAGGAATTTGGTTTAGTGGTATTATTTGTACATTGTGAATTTAAATTTTACACTATACATGCCGGAGTTGTCTGTAACGAACGTTGCATCGAAGGGCGCTCACGGCTCAAGCGATCCCCACTACGAGACATCCTTTGCATGATTTCGTTATATAGCAAATCGACTTACCCTACAATGCGTAAAGAAGTTTCACTTCAATAACAAAAAAGAATAGAATTAAAAAACCTTTAGCGAATTCCGAATAACCTTTTTTTATTAATATATTGGCCGGGCCGCAAAAATTATTGCGGGTCGCGAGTTTGACACAATGCACACGGTGTAGGTGTAGGTTTTAATTTATTTATTAAACGAGTACATTTATTGTTTGTATATATTTTAAAGTGACGGAGATAATTGGTTGGCTTGTAATTGTATTAAAACTGTGTAATTATTTATAATTTTAATGCATCCAAATACATGATATTGTGATGGGACTAATTATTAAATTAACAAATGTTGGATAAATTGAAAGAACTGTCGTTGCGTCGGTTCATTGTAAAAACGTTTGTTTTATAAAAACAGTCAGTTTATATCGTGCATGGTATGCATGAATACAAATACAAACATATAAATTTGTGCAGATTAATATGTTGTGAACCTACAGAACCACATTGTTTAATTTAGTAAATTTTATCTTCAGCAACAAGAGCAAGATCCCACCAATCTGTACATAGCCAACTTACCAACAAATTTCAAGGAGACCGATTTGGAGTCAATGTTATCGAAATATGGACAAGTTATATCGACAAGGATTTTACGTGATGGCTCAGGCACGTCGAAAGGCGTTGGCTTTGCCAGGATGGAATCTAAAGAGAAGTGTGAACAAATAATTCAAACCTTTAACGGTCATGTGATCCAAGGTTGCAAAGAACCTTTGCTGGTGAAGTTTGCAGATGGCGGCAACAAGAAAAAGAATCAGTACAAGAACAATGAAAACGCGAGGATCTGGAGGGATGGGTCTGACGCAATTCAGCAAGTTGCCTATGATCCTAACGCCCTTGCACAGAACGGAGTTACTGCACAGCACATGATGCCTGCAGCCGCAATTTCTAATTACGGAAGGCATTACGGTCAGGTAAATTAGAGATTTTTTATTAATTTTATTATGAATACTATGTAAACGATGTACGTAAATTACGCATTTCTCCCTTAGGTGTCGGCCTATGCCATGCCAAGTGCACCCTGGGTTCCACAGTATGTTATGTCTGCACCTCCTCTTCAGACAGTAGAGGATGGATACAATTTAGCTGCGGCAAGTCATCTTAGCGCTGCTTATAAGGGTGACGGTCAACCTCCCAGGGGCATGTCGGTTATGTTATCGTCTCCCGAACCTGCATATAATCACATGATTCCTCAGGTATTTCTTTTTTCTTTTAAATAAATAAATCTACTGATATATGCGCCTGTTAAAAATCAAAAAAGTGTATGCATCAACTCGTAAGTTTAAGTTAAAAATGTAAAGAAACCTGGGGGACTTTCTTTTTTAGTTAACAACCCAAATGGGGACTATGCACATCGGTACAGGATCTTACATTTCACCTCCGTATCAGTACTATCCTCAAATAATCCAGGCCATGCCTGTTGCCGAATCTGAACACACTTCGAACGCGGCTAGTCCTGAAGAACCTTATCAGACCTACCCCGCTCCTAAGTAGTAGGCCCTTTATAAAAGAAAATATATGTGCACCACATATATAGGTTTGCTAATAACGGAATCTAGAAAACCCAAAAAAAAACGTACATCAATTCCATGATACTTGCGTAAACGTCCGTAAAAAAAAGAATTGTTTAATTGAAATTATGTACTGCTAAATTTAATTTGATCTCCTCCTTTTATATATGTATATATATAAAATTATGTCTGCCAAAAAATCTTTTCGTTTATTGCATTATAACACGCCCGTCTTTTTATGGATTAATTATAGAAACACGAATCCATCGGAATTTTCTGTTTGATGTTTAGTAAAATTTAATATCGTTGTTATACAGTTGTAGTTAAACTTATTATATTATATACTTATTTATTTTTAGAAGATGTAATGGCATATCTAATGTTTCTTTAATTGTTTCGGCTCACTTTTGGGTTTTCAATTTTCTGTTCCTACCTTAAATAGTTATCTAACTAATAAGTTAATTGAGCGAACACTTTCTTTCACTGTAACTTTTTTGTCTGGTGCCTATTCTTTTTTTTTGTTTTTGTTTAATTCGCTATTACATATGTTGTTTTAAGTATGTGTAAAACTCGACTGACAATTTTTCGCGCTGTATAAAAGGAACGAGTCTGCGTTTACATATAAATTTACGTTAGTCGAGTGAGACACGTGTCTAGTCGCACGACGCATACATATATGTATGTGTGTATATGTATATATTCTTTTTCTGATCGATTGATTCATGTTTGTTCTTTGATTAATTTTACAAGTTCGTTATGTTGTTATTTTTTTCCACAACGGTGTTAATTGTAATATACGACGAACTGTCTATATCCTTTGATGAGGGTAGCAAATTTTCGTTTTTTAAACGGTTTTTCCTAGTTTTAGTCTTGTTCAGAAGTAAATAGCGAAAAAGTGCCAGTACGAAAACGTGTCAGTGAAAACGTCGGACTATTACGATCTTCCGTAGCCCGAATGTGGCGCGTAGTTTAGAGTAATAAAAGAATTAGTCGTTTTATTTTTCGATGATAGTCTTACAACAATAGTTAAGCGTGTAGGTATTTGAAAAATTCTTCGTGCTCAGACAGACTGTTGACAGTAATTGTAACGAATAAAAATCAAAAGAACGCATCGTCATATTGTTAATCGTGACTTCCATTGAACTTCTTGTTATTAAATTACCTTCGTTGTCTCATGTCGATAACACGTCGTAGCATTATTACTTATTACGATTAGTTAACTTTGTTAATATTTGTTTTACCTTGTGATAAACAGTGCTGTCACATATGTATTTTATTTTCTGTAATGATGGTTTGCAAATCGTGGCGGTCTCCTATACAAATCTGATTTTTTATTTTATAGTTTATTTATTATATAAAAAAGAGAATAGAAAAAGAATTAAAAACGTGTTACAGTCGCCGTCACGCTTCGCCATTTTGGTCTACCTTTTATTACTTTTCTTCCTTAATTAGCCACTATTAGCTACTCGCATTCTTGCTTGTTTGTTTTTACCGTCATTGTGATTGCAGCATTTTATTGTAATTATTTATTTATTATCCTGTCAAACGAATAATATTGACTAAATAAATCGCGTTGTAAGTGTTACGGACATTCCATGAGTTAATAGTAAAATTGAAAGCCGTTAATGAGGTTTTTAAGTACCAAGATTTTTGATAATAGAAATAAGCCGTAAAAAAATCGCGTGCGTTGACGAAGACACCGCATTATTTATTTTGTATTTATATTTATGTAATTTTGTGCAATTTATTAGATTCTTATTGTTTTTTTAAAGTTTATTTCTCCGTTTTTTTTTCTGAGGTGCCTTCGTGAGAAAGTATTCACTAAATGTTGCGCCGTTTCTAGATCGTCAAATTATTTAAGATATAAAAAGATTATTCGAAAAGTTCCTTCGCAATTGACTAACTTTACAGATATGAAATACCGACTGAATTTGCTGTTTTAAGAATGGTTGGTCTATCTTTCGTTAATTCATTGAATTTCGTTTTTAATTTTGTTGATAATTTAATTATCGACAAATTATCCTTTGAGATCGTATGTTATTTGTGTGCCCTGGTCAGAAATTCTCGTTTCTAAAATGTTTTTCCGGTTTCCAAAAAAAATAAGGAGTATTTCGAATGTGGATGCGTGTCATGTAAATTTTGTTATTTTACGGTAACATATACAGAAAAAAGGAAACAGGAAAACGATACTGTAGATAGAAACATTTTAATATTGTTTATTAAAATGTTATGTTAATAGTTACTGAAAGCAAATATAAGTTCTCCAAGTTTATCTGTGTAGCTTACGATAATAGCTTATGCTAGTTATTTGAGTTATTGTAATTAAAAAAAAAAAAAAAAGGGTTACTATAACATACAATAATCTTATTCTCACCGTAATATTCTTTTAATATGTATGTGTGTGTGTGTGTGTGTAATACGTCCATAAAACTAATAAATTCCGATAAAACAAAACAGTTAAGACCATGAATATTTTTGAAACCGTTACATTGTTTTGACAAAAAAAAAGAATTATACGCTGTTCTATAATGATGTATGAATTATTTATTTATTTTTAACTGTCGCAGTTATTAGATATGTTAGATGACAACAAAGAAAAGACTGGTAGAGCATTCCCAGATGAACTTGAAGAATAATTATTATCAGCAAATAGCAATTATAATAAAATAATGATCGAGATGTAGTATATATAATAACCAGGCTGACGGAAAAAAACAACTATGCATTAGGAAATCGTGCCTTTTTCAGATAGTCCATTGACAGGGATCTACTGAAAAATATTTTTAATATATTTTTTTAAATCGGTGTTTCTTATATCAGCATAACCAAATTTTTAACTCCCTAGTTGTTTCTGTATGTCGTAGGCAGATGTACGAATTAGTTCTTGTTGTTATTTCTTTAGAGTTGTCATTGGGCTGGAGGAGGGTGTTGAGGTTTAACGACGCTATCGAATCGAAGTGGAGTCTGCTATTACGGCTATGACCCCTTCCCTTTTACACCTCTCCACCTTCTATGCTTTTGTTTAACCATTATCGTAGAATGTGAAACATTTCTGAACAAAGTTGTCGTATTACTTACTGGTACATAATTAAAACATTTTCAATTGAAGTAGCATCATTCATAAAAAAGAAAAGAAAAATATGATACTGACTTAACAATTTCATTATTGTAATCACCGTAGAAAGATGAATGTTGGAAATGCCGAGTCTTTCCCTTAGAAGGATCCAGATTATTTTGTGAAAATAAACAGGTTGTTGTTGTAAATAACGTGAATAGCATTGCTTTGTTTTTTAAATTCGAAACCTGTTAACTCGTTAATATCAACTACGGAACATTAGAGTGCGTTTGTTCGAAAAAAGAATTGTATTTTCTTGATGTAATCACACGTCTACAAAAATACAGTTTGAATTTGTTAAGGATTTTAAAGCCAAAGTGTAGAAATATATACTTGGTTAAAATAGATGAAGGAAAAATACCGTAATTGATTTAGATTGTAAATTCTATAACTAAATTGTACTTAAGAATAATGGACAAATTAATATCGAAAAATAAACTCTTTCATTTCAAAAAACAGAATTTAAAATATTATGTTATTGCTCTCCGCCATCATATAGATATTGTGTTATGGTATAATTGCATCCTGTTAAGGATACGAAAGGGAAAGATACGAGGCATACTTCAGCTTTATGAGATTTTTTATGAACTGAAAGAGAAAGGAAAGTATTGTTTATGCGGAAAATGGGCGCGCAAACGTAGAAATTTTTACACTGTTAAAGTTAATAAATCCAATTTATTTTGGTATTTGAACCATACATTTGATGGTAAGAAGCTATTTTTAGACGATATTATCGAACGTGTCAAAAAGAAAAATGCAATTATCTGTCGCGTGTAAATCTGATGGGGATAGGTTTATTCCACGCTAATTGTATAAATATGGATTCTACGTGGATGGCGCTCGTCCACGTACGTGTTTAGGTAGTAGGGAAATAAAATAAAAGTAGGTCGTAGCTCTTAAAGTAGAGTAGCTTGATTAGTTTGTAGGCTTTATGCTAGAATGTAAGTAGGACACACCCTTTAATTATATACAGAGAGAAGAGGAAGATAGTTAGTTAAACGAATAGATCGATAAACGTAGTTGGAGAGAAAGGGGGGGCGAGAGAGAGAGAGAGAGTCGAGCACAACTTGGAATGCCTTTCCTTATTAATTAGGAACTCATTGTGTATAGTAGGATTATATTAAATATAGTAAGTAGATAGATAGATATTTTTAATTTATACGAGGTGCTACGCGTTGTACAGCTGTTGTGGCTTGGCGGCATCATCATGTGCCGTTTTTTGCGTAAAAGGCTGACGTTATGTGAACGATATAGTCAGGATGAGGTGCTTAATTCCAAGTTGTACTCGAATAATACAAACGAGACTTGGTCTCTTTAAGTTGGTTAAATTTAGGATAAGTAAGTGTTTTTTATTGTTGAATAAGTTTATTGTATGTTTGTTTTTTTATGTACTGTACAATTCTTCCTTTTTGTGTTGGTAAAATAAAACGTATTTGTCCAAAAGGCTTTTATTTTCATTTTTTTTCTCATTAATCGATTGAATATATGTAAAATTACTAACACCTTCAATTAAACAATATCATTTGTCAACAAATAACTAAAACGACCGAATATATACAACATTATAACAATACGCTTACTATTCACATGTGATACTTATTATGTTAGATGATGAATGTATGTATATCACTATTACACAAGAAGGTAGTTTAAAATTTTACTTTCTGAAAACTTTTAAATAAATGTAAATGTGTGGGTCAGAGTACAAGAGGAAAAACGTCTTCCTATATAAGACAGGTATCAATTTGGCTAGGCGAAACGGTCGTCATGATGCTGGTAGGACAAAGGGCACACAGAACTCGTTATACTCCAAGTTTACTACATGTAGAAAATTATTTAATGCACCCTTGGTCCGCTGTCGTATAAGAACTACTCACTTTAAAACAATCAAAAGGCAACAATAATTATGATTTTGTTAACTTAAGAAATCAGTTCAGTTATAATCATTATCACAAGGGAGGAAAATCCTTATTACACAGTATATTAATACAATTTTTTTGGTCTTGTTCTTCTGTAGTCTTGACATTACAATTACTTGCATTTTTTGAATGCACAATACATTTATTATTAAGAAAAATTTGATTACTTCTCCTAGAGGAAGAGCTTTGTTGTTGAGAAACGTTTTCTTTTGATTGTTTTTTAATCATTTCAAACAAAGGTGGAGGTACCTTATTAACTAACTGTTTACTATTACTTAAAACATCATAAAGGTCAGTGGCGATGTGAGTCACAAATTTACAGGGGTCCTGCGTCATTTCTTTATTAATCAATGGCTGTTGAGAAGAAAATGTTGGAGAACTTGATGATGAATTAGAAGGTGTGGTGCTGTTTGACTTGGAACCTGTGCGATTGAAACGAATATTTGGCATTGCAAATGTTTCTCGTTTTGGTGCATCATTTTCTTTTCGTTTGTTCTCTTGTCGAAGTGTGTTCTCAATAATATCATTAGAGAAATCCAAGCCAGACACCTAATCAAAATAATTAGGCATTTCAATTAGTAAATAATATACATCTAAATAACATGATAATGTGTAGTTACAAAACCATTTAGTGTTGACTAGTTCTAGTTACATTAAAGTGACCAACACTTACTCTTCCTTTTTGTATTATGTATATTTATCAAACAAAATTAATGTTTACCCTCTGTATTGTATTAAAAAATCTAGCCAAGAAGGACCTGTGCATTGACACACTACGGGACACGTATGTTACTATTATTGTGTATGTAAATAATAGTGTGGGTCTGCAAGCTTTAAAATAAATTAAAAAAATCCACAATAAATTCAATAATAGTAGATATTGGTTTGACATATATAATATCAGTAGTTATTATGCATTTATGAATCTCAAAATTTGTTTTATTAATATGATTACATAATTTGAGATAAACATTTGTTTTATTTTTAATTTTTTTTATGCATAATGAGCTTGACCTGTGAGCTGATAAATAAATAATTATTTCATTAAACAGTGTTTTTTTCAGGTGGAAGAAAATTTCACTTGAAGAAGCTACTGTTTTCTGAAATAATTATTGTGGATTTCTATAAAAAGAAGTTTTGTAATTGAAACATTATGTTTGTATGTTGCTTTGTTAATATTTCTATAGGATACATATAAATTTAGTCATGATTAAAACTGATAATTTACCAGAGCATACATACTCTTCTAATTGTTGCAGAAGTTTCGTTTTGTTTGTCTAGAAATGACGATTTACCCCCTGGTTTGTCGACCAAAGGTATATTTTTCAACGGTCTTCCTCGAACGGGTTTACAAAATACTACATTCTCACAAATGGTACTGTCATCATTTAATATTTGGTTGAACCTTTCGTCATCATCAAAACGACTACGTCTCGTTATTTGCAATCTCGTTCTTATTTCATCGGCGTTGGATAAAATTTCTTTATCAAAATAACCATTAGTACCGAACACGGATAATTCTTGGATGTCTCGGCTAAAATCATCGTCAGAATTCCACTTATTACTCATTCTTTTTTGCCTTTTTCGATTCCGTTGAACTTTAAAATTAATAAAAATATATAAAAAAAACTAAATTATAAACTAAAACATTTACACTTGTTTAAATTTTAATTTTTGCTGCGAAACAAACATAACTTCGCTGAACCACTTATACTTAATAGTAGTATCTATGCCTATAATAGAGTGACATATGAGTCAGCCATGGTGTCGACCATAGATTGCGGATCAGCTAGTCACCTTCTGTCCCAAGTTTTGTAGGTCGAGAGAACTGCCACCCTTGTATATAAATCCACTGATTTAAACTTGTAAGTATTATAATTATGCGTTCATTAGTTTGTTAAAAAAAGGAAAATTTTTTCGGGTGCAGATCGAACAAACAAACGATTATAGTAATCTAAAGTTCGAAAAAAGACTTATTGGGAGGGAGGCTTGCTGGACCCCACTTCATCTTTTAAATTTCTAATTTCATCAAACCTTATTTTTTATCTATGTGTGGATAGTTATCAACTTATCTATGGTTGTCAATTTGTCGATACTCTTATGTACCTCGATGGTACCTCGTCTATGTCATGTGGGTAGATCTATTATCTATGGTCATGTACGCTGTGGAAAAGTGGAAACAATAGTTGTGTGTTGTAATATATTTTTTTAAGTTTATAATAGTGTAAAGATATATTAATTAGAAAAGTGCTTTGTATATATATATATATATACATATCTTTTTAGGATAAAAATCCAATATGGCTAATACCTTCGATAAACTGTAAACTGTGTAAGTTTTTCAAATATTTAATAAGTGAAATATGTATAAAGCACTATTTACAGAAGATGGAAGTTATTTGTTTAAGTGACTCCGATGGTAGTGATTCCACTGTATACAGAGAATGCCCTCGGTCTAGAGAAGGGTACGAAAAAATGTCAAAAGTTTCAAATGAAGTGCAGGTAGAGAGGAATGAAGTAATAACATTGAGTTCAAACGAGTCAGGTAAATATTTAATTAGTTTAAATAAGTCAAAAAAATATCTCATAATTGGCCAGTTACTTGGCAGTTTATATGTATTTAAACTATTGTGTTCATATACATATATCTAATTTTTGCTTATGATTTCATATGTGCAGACTACTGAAATAGGTGTAAGTTCACTTAGACCATTAAAATTGCACAGCAATTGATAGAGTAACCTAATAAAAACTAAACGTTCTCCAAATGGAGGTGTTTCTAAAATTTTCATAACAATTAGGTCAGTACCTTCCACTTGATGCGTGTATTAATTCCAAAAATAATCATAATTGATTGTATTACTTATTCTCTATTCCCAATTATTTTTTTGCAAATATTCAATACGGACTGATAAGCAATTTTTACAGTTTTTTGTAGTGTAGAATATGCTATACAGCATAAAACTAAAGTTATTAAATTAATCAAATTATACATATATATTACTATATTGTCAAATAAACAAAATGAAAAATGAGTTCTGGAAACAACACCTACAGCATCCAAACAATAAGCGAAATGTGTCTAAAGAATACTTGCACGTATTCTGGGTTGCCTAATTATTCATTTCTAGAAATATTTTGAATTCGCATATTTTACTAAAAACTAACAAGTGCTAAAACGTTATTTCCTTAAAATTTTTCATTAATTTTCTAGTTTTGGAAAAGGAATCAATGAGATCTTCAGAAACAGAACGATGTAGAGTGACTTGGGAGAAAAAGAGGAAATCAGATGAATCTAAAATACCTTTTGAGACACCGTCACCAGAGAAAAAAGTAAAACAATGGATGAAAAATCAACATATGTTTTTTGTACAAAAAGAATTGAACTCTAACAGAAACATTCCATTGAGTAGTCAACATTTAGACAGTCTCACCAATAATGCTATTAACATATGTTCCAAGAAGGAATCCTGTCGTCCAACGAAATCTGTATTAATTCGTCAGGATTATGTAAAATTCAGTAATACTGAATGTGGACCTGGAACATCATCTGCAGCTGCAATAGTTAAATTAAACTACAGGGATAATAGATATTCAGAATCAGATTCTGGGTGTTCAACAAATAATTATTCATGCAAATATAATATTAATAATAATAACGATGATGATGATGATGATGATGATGATGATGGCACACATAAAATAAAAGACTGCAGTAAATTAAAAGATGAAAGTAATCGTTTCAATGAGAATACATCAATCAATCTTATGAATGGATGTAGCAATTTTTCCAGGTCACTTGTTAAAAAATCAAACCTTTCAATACACGAAAAAAACTGCCGTGGTAAATTGCACAGGGAGAAAAGTAAACCAATGGATCAACCATTGAGTCCTGAAAGTCAAAAAAAGAACGAACTCTGTTCATACTTACAATTGATGAATACACATGGTAGAAAAAATCGGGAATTCTTACAAAATAGAAGATCTATCAGAGTAATTAATCATCAGAAATTATTAGAAAGAAGAGAAACTGAGAAAGTATTCAAATGTGAGAAACTTGAAAAATCATCTACGGAAATAAGTGAGGAAAATTCAAAAAACAATAGCGATGTTGCTAAGATTTGTGGAAGTTCTGCTACAAGAAAATCATTTGCTGATTTAAATTTGAAATCGTTAGCACCTTCGTGGGTACAAAATAGAAGCGTAAATGTTAGAAATGGTTCGCGATCTTTAAAACGCGTTGTTCCTATTAAAAACGAAAGTAACTTTGAGGACATTATGCAGACTTTTCTGATTACAGAAAATGAAAAGTTGTTTGGTAACGGTAGGAATTCTTCAACAGGAATGGCTAATACAAAAATTACCAATGCGCCTCATAGCAATGAAACCGAAGAAACACGAAAATTGTTAGAGGCTCTTAAAAAAAACAATTCGCCAGCATTGAATGAAAAAATATGCGATCAATTAGAACAGTACTTGTCACAATATGATCCGTTAGAAAATTATACAGAAGAAACTTATAATGTAAAAACGAAAAGTAAAACTAGACGTAGTTTACGCCTTGTTCACAATAATAATTCCTTTACTAAGTCGAGTTCAAACAATTCAAATAAATGCCAAGATTTTGTATGGAAAAAACAATTAAACCCTTATAAAAATCGTGTTGATTATAAGATAAACAGCAATCATTCACTGCCGAAGGTAATAAACGATTGTAAAGATTTGACTTTGAACAGAACCAGTAATAATAAACTCTGTGTGGAAATGACCGATAATGTTCCCTCTATAAATGTTCCTTGTTTGTTAAAGGAGAAACTTAAAAGCCAATTTGAACTGATAAAAAACCTTACCCCCGAACACAGGAAAGCTCTTTTTGATAGTACAAAATTCACCGGAATTAATCAAATACGTAGCATGTTCGTATTTCCAAATAATCATAAAGAAGTATTAGAATTCCATTGCGATGATCTGACATGTAATGGGTTTAAGCTTTCCGAAAAGATTTTTAGCGAAAAAGCATCAGTTACCTTGAACGAAATTTTAAATGTGTTGGAAACTCAAGTTACGCACAGTCAAAGAAAATTAGAATTGAAAATAGCTGAACCGACTATTTCAAAACAGCAAAGGGAGATTGAAACCAGAAACAAAACAAATATTTTGGAGAAGAACATATATTATGTGCTACCTGATTCTAATATGTCAGAAATAGAAGTAAGAAATTATTCTTTATCTGCAAAGGAAGATATTTCCAAACAACAATCAGAGGATTCACAGGTATCCACAAATAGTTCAGCAGCTCGTGTAGGTTCGGGATCCTCGACTTTATGTGCTATTCCACGTAACCAAAATTCTTTATTATCAACCGTCATGTCTCCGGATTTATCCTATGTAGCGCTTCCGTCCAATGTTCAAAACCAACTGTTACCAGTGCGGAGGAAATCCTCTGAAATTAATTCTTCGTGTACCACAGTTAGTTCTTCAAACAGCAAACCGTTAAATACCTATCTCAGTCGTAAGCACCGTTCAAAAATTACTATCGATTCCAGTCTTCAAACTTGCGATAATAACGACGATGAGGTGGAGATATCGTCTAACAAAATACAAAGTAGGTTTCAAGCAGTTCAGCCGGTAATGCTAGCGAAGAACAAAGGCCTAGTTGAGCATGCATATTACTTCGATTTTACATTAGTGGTCGTTCAAGAGTTATCTGTAAGCTTTTGGAAAGTTTGTCCATTAGGTAATATTCTTGGCGTGCACGACATGTGGGAGGCTAAAGGTGATGTTCACCGACTCGTTTCGGACGATTCCACTGACAAAACAGTCACCGAGACCGTCACATATATGGACAAATCGGTGGCCTACTTCGAAATGTGGACGAAAATAAATGATACCGGCGCTCTGGACGTCATCGTGGTCATTTATTTTTGGCTGGAGTGTTTCAGTCAACCAAGTAGGAAGATTGTTCTGCTGGACAGTGTAAAATGGTAATTTGTTGTGTGTATAGCAGATGTTTAATTTTACACTCATATAATTGTAAATATTGTAGTAAAGACGCAGACGTGATTTACATGGTTTTGAAAAGATCTCGTAAAATTTTTGTGGCTACGTGTGCGATTGTTGCAGGGGTGCCCACCACTTTTCTGAACAATCATCATTTAGCATCGGATTATCAATCTATTGCAAGTACCAAGCAAATGGGTTGTGTTAATTATCATGTACGCACAATGCATAACATACAAGGTGCGTTAATGCCCACGAAGTCTAATTTTATGCCATTAAAATTAATTAAAACAAAAACATATATTTATTTTAGATTGTGATACGTTGATTATGGGCTGCGGTGAACAAAAAATAACTCTTTGGAATGTAGAATACGGATTCGTGGTAGCTACAATCGATCTGTTAGGTTTTAATGAAATTCCTCAAACATTATGGACTAAATGTGATAGAGTAAGTTCTTTTATACGACCACCGATTATTAACAGTTACCAAACGGCAGAAATATATATATATATATAATATAATCGCAACTGTCAGTTCCTTTCGACAAAATCTAAATCAACGAAGAAAAAAATAAAACATTGGATCTTATCAAAAATGTACTTAAATCGTAACATAACTATTCTTTTTGTTGATGTTTATTATAAATGAATGAATATATATTTTTGCTTTTGTTCTTGTACTGCTTATTTAACTTATCAATCAATTATAAACATAGCTATAGTTGCAATTTTTAAGTTTAATTTAGATTAGTAGTAGTAGTAGTATCTTGATTTTACGTTTCGAAATCCACATACAGGTAACTTTGTATGGATTAATTGTGTAGATGCTATGTTTATCATATCATGTGATCGTTTTCAATGTAATAAATATATAAAATGAAAAAAAGAAAAAAACTAATCAATTTGATTAAGAAATTAATTTCTCACTGCAGCAGTATTATTTACTATTATCTATTCTCAATTAACCTTTGCAATATTGTTATATTAAGTTGGCATTTAGTATTCAGCCAGTCCTATACAGGTAGTCCCTACCTATTTGGGTCCTTTACGTAAACTTCATATGTTATTATGCTTATGTACGGAGTCTGACAAATAAACAAATAAAGTCTCATAAATTTTCAAAATACCCGCCCGAAAATTTGTTCGACTTTTAATTTATATAAATGTATGATTAAAATGTTCGTTTTGTTATACACTTATGTTTTTGCAGGGTTTCTTGTTTGTTTTACAACAATTTTCGGATACGTCATTGAAGCTAATAGCTATAAATGGAATTAATTACACTTGGAAGCTGTTAAGAAGTTTTCAACCGAATGATACTTGCGGAAGGTAAGCGTTAACGCTAAATACAAATCATTTATATATAAATATTAATAGGAATTGTAATAACAGAATTTGTTTTCAGTTTGCAAGGGGTCTGCGTGGAAAATGGACTACTGGTAGCGTTTTTCGATAACGTAAGTTTGTGTTGGAAAATAGAAAATAGGGAAGAAATTCTAGAGTTGCCCTGTGACGATAATTTAAAAGTTTTTGTATCGGACAGTAATGTCATATCAGTTTCTAATGATCAGCTTCAAGTCAAAAATGCGTTACAGTATCTTCTCACATGCGACGATATCTATAACACCAAGGTGTAAATTAAAAATAACAGTGGTAAATAATTTGATTCATTCATTACATACCCGTATGTATTTATTTGCTAAGTCGTTTTCAAAGACAATTAATTGATCTACGTTTGTATTTTGTAAATAACTAGTTATTAAAGTATTCATAAAATTGGTATACTTTCTGTTTATTATCTTGGAGAGAGTAATTTATTACGAATAAAAACTACTTTTGTGTAAAGTTGGACTCCAAAATATAAATTAATTGTATCTGACTTTTATATCAAGTGCGTATTGTTTATTTTTATAACATGTAGACCGTGGTAACGACTTCCTCTTGATTAACAAATTAAATGAAATAAAACATATTCTTATGTTGGTTTTGTTTTATTAGGTGTTCAACTGAGACAGATCTTTTATGTGAAGAATAAAAACAGTAATTTATCGATTTCATGATGTCACCTTTTTTCTTATATATTAGCGATTAGTGTAAAGATGCTGAAAATATATTTGTGAGCTAAAAATTAACTGAAAGTTAGTAGAGTAACTAAACATCTTATTCAAGTAATAAAAGAATTTAATCTTCAAGAGTGACATTTTTAAAGAGATATGACATCGATTCTTTATTGTGAATTCGACGAATAGCCTCGGATAGTAAAATGGAAATGTCGACAGTTTTTATTTTGTGGCACTGCATCTTTTGTAACTCGTGAGGAATGGTATTAGTGACGACAACCTATAATAAACGTAAGCAACATTATATTAACAACATTTAAAATATTTGTTAAAAATTACTTCATCGATTGGAGAATCTTCGATCAGTCTTGGTGCATCAGATGATAAAAGTCCATGAGTTGCCAGAACGTAAATCTTATATGCACCACGCTCTTTCAGCACTTCAGCAGCGGCTACGAACGAATGGACATCGTCTATTAAATCGTCCTGTGCAGTAAAAAAAAAAATAGAATACATACACATATTTTATTACATTAAAAACACTTATTCACAAAAATAAAATACACACCACCATTATGGCAATTCTTCCTCCTACATCGCCAACAACATTAATTGGAGGCTTTTCTTTTGCAGGATGGACAGGCACACCGACACCTGCGTCCATCGTGCGAGATCTGGGTACAGCAGGAGGTGAATATCTTCCATCAACTTCGTCACTTTCAGCTTCTTTCTGTTCTCCATGAATAACTGCTATTCCAAGTCTTAATCGTTCCGCATACGACGTCGCTTTCTTTGCAGAACCCGGATTACGAGCAACAATAACTGAATTACGATAATCAGGAATCTAAACAAGTATACTTATGAGAAAATGATTTCGTTTAATACCTTAAAATTAGATTTAGACCTACACTTTCTTGGATGTATTGAAGTAAAAAAGGACTGGCTCTTAAATTATCTACAGGGCAATCAAAAAATCCCTGTATTTCTTTTTGATGTAAATCCATTGTAATAACATGTGTTAAGCCTGATTTACACATCATCTTTGCTAAAAGCTTTGAAACGATGCAACCACGTTTACGCATTTTGCATTGCTTACTATATGGAAGATAGGGTATTACACCTACAATGGACTTTGCAGAAGAAGTTTTGACCGCATATGCCATGATCAGTAGCTCCATTATATTGTTATTAACATCTCTAAAATTGACTTGGTTATCATCCCCACTTGTCTTTTACAAAAATAAATAGTATCATTTGTATAAACAATTGATTGGGTTTAGGGAGAGGAAGGAAACTTTTTCCACCATATTATATCGCTGTAGGTTATATTAGTTCGATTTGTTTGTTTAAAGTAGTTCTTAAGTGTATCCCAACATATTACTCAATACTAAAAATACTGTACATACTTTGTGCCTGTTTGAATAATATAGATATCCTTGCCACGAATCGAATCCCCAATTTCAACCATTGTTTCTCTATTTGTTTTATGATAAACGGAACAATCGGCTACTTTCACATCCAATCTTTTCGCAATCAATGAAGCTAATTCAGTATGCGAATTTCCGCTTATTATAACTATATCTGACGAACGAGGAGCTTCCATTTCTGGTTTCTTATTAGGTCAACGAAATCTTTCTAACCAACAATGGTATTACAAATACATACTTATTGCTACAAATTATCAACAATTAAAATAATTACAACAATTTAAGTAAACGACGCAATTCTAAATAAAATTAGTGTTATTAAAAAAATTGAATAAAGCACCTGCTACTATTATAAAATAAATGAACCGCATACCATCACAACAACGGCTATTTTACAGGACTGATCCCGCGTTTGATTTCCAATCCCCCTTTTAGAGTATTCACTAAATTTTACACCAAATTAATTTTTTTGTTACAGTTGTGACCGAAGAATGATGATCATTTTACGAACTGCGAAAGCAACAGGAGAAAGAAATTTTCTGGACAGTTTTCACAGCCCCGTAAATGCAGCATTCAATAAAAAAATATAGCAAATGCAACTGACAAGAATATGCTTCCGTTGTCTGCTATTATTCATTTCATGTATAATACGTCGCATGGAACGCACCCCATTTCTCCATAGCATAAATTGAGATTAACTTGAATCTATGGTTATTTAATTTTGCTATTTTGATATATGACAATTGATTGTGTTTGTTAAAGTCCAGGCTCCTTCATTCTAATACTTGTTAATTTTGGTATTTTACTTGGTTTTTGGTGCGTTTTGTTATTTATTTGATGTTTATTTATTTATTTATTTATTTATTTATTTATTGTGGAGTATGGATTCACACCCAATTACAATTATTTATTTAATATCATAGTTAATTTGTGTTTCTTGTCGATTATTTGCAGATAGTTGACTTAATAGTTTGCTGTGGTGCAAGACTCCCTGGATTTTGTTGTTTGCTGCTTACTATTAACCGAGAATGAATTTGCAGTCAAATGGCAGTGTAATATCAGGGGATCATCTCTGTGATTGTGTTATCATCCAATTCTTAAGTAAGTGATTGTTTGTTTCTATTTGTTGTGTATATGTTCATTAAGTGATGATGATGTCTTAAAGCAACGCTTAACCATCTTTCTGTGACGATACAAGCAAGTTCTTATTAACAACACTAATATAAACTTCACCAGTACAATGTTCGAAAAAGTTCACTTGCTTTTTATAAAAAACGAGCACTGTATTATTAGCAAGCTGTTTCAGTAATAGGTATTCACTATTAGTTAATAGAAAATTAAACTTATTAAAATCACTTAATGAGTAGAAAAGAAGGTTGATAGGTACTTTGATATGCTATGCACGTAATGGCACTAAGGGGACTGGAAATGATCATATGTGATAGTGAGCTCATTTGATATTATATTATATCCTTAATTTGTGAAAATGAAACATGTTTATTTTTTTTTCTTTGACGGGGCTATGCTTTGCATTGTCTGTTATTTTTCCCATCATGTATCATGAGTCGCATGGAACGCACCCAATTTCTTCATAGCATAAATTGAGGTTAACGTGCATCTGTGGTTATTTGATTTTGTGATTTTGACAAATTGCTTCCGTTTTCTAAAGTCTAGACTCTTCATTGTAATATTTGGGTATATTTTGGTATTTCATTTGGTTTTTGGTGCGTTTTTGCAATTTATTTCATGTTATTTATTTAATAACATAGTTAATTTGTTTAATTTGTTTTTCTTGTCGATTATTTGCAGATAGTTGACTTAACAGTCTACTGTAGGGTAGGACACCTAGAACTTTGTTGTTTGCTGCTTACCATTAACATAGAACGAATTTGCAGTCAAATGGCAGTGCAATATCTGGGGATCGTCTCTGTGATTGTGTGAGCATCTAATTCTTAAGTGAGTAATCCCTTGTTCTTAGTTGTTGACTATATGTTTGATTAAGTGATTATGATGTCTTAAAGCAACGCTAAACCATCTTCCTGTGATGATACAAGGGAGTTCTTATTAACAAAACTAGTGTAACATACACCAGTACAATGTTTGAAAACGTTAACCTGTTTTTTATAAGAAATGAGCACTTTATAATTACAATGATTTTATAAAAAGTTACACTTATTTAAATCACTCAATTAGCAGAGGAGCCGTTTGATGATTACTTCAGTAGGGTATGCAGGTAATGTTAGGAAGGAGGTTGAACGGATCATATGTAATAGTGAGTTCATTTGGACATTATATTTTAGGCTAAATTTTTGAAAGTGCAACATATTTATTTAATTTGACCAGGGTATGCCTTGCTTTGTCTGGTATTTTTCCTTTCATGTATCGTTAGTCGCATGGAACGCACCCAATTTCTTCATAGAATAAATTGAGGTTAACAATGTATCTATGGTCATTAGATTTTGTTATTTTGACAATTTATTGTGTTTTGTAATGTGTATGCTTCTTCATTGTAATACTTTTGTTGATTTTGGTATTTCAGTTGGTTTTTGGTGCGTTTTTGTTATTTATTTTATGGTATTTACTTAATGACATAATTAATTTGTTTTTCTTATCGATTTTTTGCAGATAGTTGACTTAATAGTCTACTGTGCTGTAGGACTCCCTGGACTTTGTTGTTTTCTGCTTATAATTAACCTAGAACGAATTTGCAGGAAGGGCAGTATCTGAGAATCATCTATGTGATTGTGTGAGATTTAATTTTTAAGTGAGTAATCCCTTGTTCTTAGTTGTTGACTATATGTTGGTTAGGTGATAATGATGTCTTAAAGCAACGCTGAACCATCTTCCTGTGATGATACAAGGGAGTTTTTATTAACAAAACTAGTATAAAATTCATCAGTGCAATGTTCGAAAAGGTGCAGTTGCTTTTTATAAGAAACGAGCACTTTACTATTAGCAAACTGTTTAAGTAATAGGTGTTCACTATTAATAAAAACAAAGAAGAAAAACAGAGAAGATTGATAGATAGCTGAGCTGATCATAAATATTAGTGAGTTAATTTGACATTGGGCTACTTTTGTTAATTTTGCTAGTTCATTTCGTTTATGGTGCTTTTTTGTTATATGTTTCATATTATTTCTTTTATAACAGTTAATTTGTTTTTCTTGTCGGTTATTTGCAGATCGTTGACTTAATAGTCTACTGTGCTGTAGGACTCCCTGGACTTTGTTGTTTGCTGCTTACCGCTAACCTAACAACAATTGGCAGTCAATAATGGTGGGAATAAAGGCCATTATACTGTTTATTCATATAAACTGATAAATAAGTTCATAATTACTTTAAGGTGCTATGCATGCTATAGCTATAGAAGATGAGTTAATGATTCATAGTGAGTACATTTAACATACTAGTGTTTTTATTAGTTTGAAATACATAAGAAGTACATTTTCTTAAACAACTGTACAGTAAGTTTCGAAGTTGTCATATGTTGTTTGTTTAATAATGCTACGTTGTGTACTTGTTATTTTTCTGTTCATCTGAATTCGAGCCTCATATCACACCATATCCCACACCCAAGTCTCGTACCCTAAATGCGACACCGCACATCCACAGCAAATGGCCACACACTTCATGCCCCAGTTATGCCACCTATCGCGTAACACCATACACACATCTAACGCCACTCCCAGATCTGGTATCTCAAATCCGCTTCCGATGTGTGTTGAACGCCTCATGCGGGAGTGGCCCTATCTCGAGGTCGCGAATGTTGTGCCAGGTATCCCATGCGGTATTCGGACAGCAATATTCCGGAATCGGGGTGCGGTGTTTGCTGCAGAGGCCGGAGGTCCCTAGTCAGATTTCGATGTCCGGTATGAAGAGTGCGATATAGGGGTCCGTGCCGGTATTAGAAATTCGGAACTAGGGGTCAGGGGTAAGGTACTGAGGTGCTGTACGAGAGTGTGAGGCGCTGGAGGTCGGGAGTGTTGTATCAGGGTGCGGTGTCAGGAAAGATGGGGTGCGGTGTCCACGTTCGGTACTATGTGTGGTGTGAAATATATTTTTGGTATCCAGGTCCGACGTTCTGAACGTTGTGCCAGGGGTGCGACATTTGGTGTCGTCGATTGGGTATTCTCGGTATTTGATGCACGGTACTTTGTTTCAGATAAGCGCCGTTCGGCGTAGTGTTCCTATGACGGCATTCAATAACTAGTGGATAGTATGTGGAAACCTACGGACGTGAAAGGTATTGTGCCTTGTATCTGTTGGCGCCCCTTGTTTGTTGCAAGGCATTCGGCAACTGATGTGTAGGACATTCGGCGTTGCGGT